TGTCACAACATGCAGGGAATTTTCGCCCTTGAGTTCCGCTACTCCAGATATTTCAATGTCATTGAGTAATAAATCTTGATCCCGCTCATTTAGGCGACACTTGAGTTCAGTTAACGTTTTTTCCAATTTGGAGCCTGTTGTCTGAGGTTGTGGATCCGTCGCGCGCTGTTCAAGATGTATACAATATCGCCGACTCTATTGTTTAGCTCATCTACATTAGAACTTATTTTTGATATAACTTCTCAAAATTATATTATCTCACGGGCGATAGTAGTTAACTGCTCGCGTATTAATTTTATTTCACTTGCCAAGTTTATGTTATCATCACAGCTCCCTCTGTCGCTAGTGCCCGGTACTACTTCGCCGAGCTCAGTATCTGTGCCACCAGAGCTAAGCGAGCCAGACGTAGCGCTCACACCTGCTTCACTTGGACTCCTCGTCTTACATCCGCGACATTGCCATTTATTTAATTTACGAGCATCGTTTTTAAGATTAACGCATTGTCGATGGAACATATTCAAACAATTAGAGCACTTTGCACCGTCCGTTGTGGAGGTGAATCTTCCACAGACACGACACTTATTCGCCATTCTTATTTATACTTATCGGGCAGTGTAAACAGTTCTAAATATCGCTAAGAGATGTCACTGTTACTTGTTTAATTTAAAAGCTTGTTTATAAGATTTAACTTATGTTAATTTTATTCATTTATTTATAATACGCACTTCCTATTATATGTAATAAATATAGTTTCAAGCACTTATATTAAGTTGTACTCACTACTCAGAAGCAATCCAAGGACTAACAGCTGATCTTACAATCAGCTGATACGCTGTCAGTTGATTTACACTAAAAAAAGTTATTTCTACCACTATAACATTGAACCATACACTGAATCACGCCACACTACTGAATTGTTTATAATACACGTATTCACTTAGTAAGAATAACCATATTTAAATAAAAAATTACTCTTAACATAAGAGACGAAGCGTTTCACAGCCGACCGTGCTACCCTCCTTTTTCCATCCCACCCAAATTAGTCATAACTGTAGTTAAGATATAAGAATTTTAAAGTCAGATTACTAGTTTCAAACGACACGTCTTCGGCGAAGTATTAATTTACGCCGTTACGACGTAAGTGTAGGTCCCTATTTCTTGCCTCTTCCCTCTAGGTTGATACCAACTTCTTATCTTTTCCTATCACTCAACAGTTCATCCACTGCTGCGTTCAGGCTTGAAGAGTAAACTAGGACAATTAAAAGCTGTGATGCAGTTCGTTTGAGTTGTCTCGGATTACAAGGGCTAAACTTTATTGCTTAAAATTGATAAAACGTGGTAGAGACATGCTGCAGTTATATTAATAGTATAGTTGTAGCAAGAATCTGTCGGTTCGACCAGGCAAGGACCATACTCTCACAGAATAACAGCGTAAAATAGTAGTTTATTGCTGCTGTGTTTCGTATGGTGAGTGTAGAGAATCAGAAACCCTTTTTAATGGAAACGAGGCATTCCATCTTAGTCTTCACGGGTGACAACACATCTGCATTTTGATTTGTAATCGAGGATTGATGTAGATGTCTATGGGCCGCAGCAACCACTTACCATCAGGTGGACCTTCCCTGGTCGAGCCAACCCATTCGTTCTACAGCCATAAGATAGCTGCAACATGGCTCTACCACGTATAAATGATAAACTCAGAAATGAGGATAGCCGCAGTAAACCAGACCTACCGACATAGCCCAACGGAAAATAACCTGAAGTGGCCGGTCATATAGCTCGAAGAATCGATAACCGATGGGGAAAAAGGTTCTCGAATGGCAGCCTCGTACCAGTAGGCGTAGTGTAGGGCGACCCCACTAGATGGAGAGACCACCTGGTAAGACATGCAGTAAGTCGATGGATGCAGGTGGCTCAGGACCGTGCTTTGCGGCATTACTTGGGGGAGGCCTATGTTCAGGAGTGGAGTGGAGCATTAATTCAACGGACATTATTATTATAAAAAATAAATATAAAGCAAAGTATTTAATCGAATTGTTTTTTATTTTCAATGATAAATCATTGTTTTTTCTATTCCAGACTCATCCGTATTACATAGCCTATAAGATGAAAGTGCCGATAGAATTCAGGTTTTACGACTATGTAGTGACGTTTATCTTCCTGCTCGATCTCTTCGTTTACCTCTCTACTGGTGCCAACTTTGAAGAAGGTAATAAAAAATCACCTACTATTGTATGTCACTAATAGAACAAGAGAGACTCTTACTTTTTGGTATTTTTCCTCCCATTGTTTTTCCCGTCCCATAAACATCCCGTAACAACTATCAGTAATTTGACCAGACATTTTTTTATAGGATAGGCATTACGACCAGAATTTCCACCAACACTAGCCCCTGCGCTACTACATCTTATGGTACCACTACACTACCTCATATATATCGTGAGGAAACCTACATGTCTGAGAATTATAAAAAAATATTTAGAAAACATGTAAACTCTGCCAACACGTATTAGAGCAGCGCATGGACACTTCCTTGGCCAAAATCATAGAGAACAACATAACAATTGAAGCAATAATAACAAAAAAAAAAAACATAAAAATATTAAAAATTATGTCCTCCAGACCGAACTTCAGTCACAGCGGAAAGACTTACCGGAGACTAGCCATTGAACTGTTACGAGCTTGGGGTTCGTGACAATAAAAACTGCCGATTGAATTACCAAAATTGACATTTTATTACTGAACACCAATTACAACTTAAAACACACTAATAATAAAACACAATTATAATACGGATCACTTTAATTCGCAGCTATATCGTTTCGAATTATTCGCTTGTAACGTCAATTCAATACTGGCTAGGTCGCGGTCCTTACCGGCCAACTGACTTGGAGTAGAAAGTTCTAGTACGGAATTTTCTAGAAAGATCTTAACTTACCTTGTTCTTCTACACGATACTAGGTGGCACTAAAGTTAAGTCGCCATGTACCAGGCATTAATTATGCACGCAACAGAACTATATTAATCCGCTGCAAAATTCGTCAAATGGCGTGCATCATTTAAACTCTATGGCAAAACTTTTTAACTTACTGTGCTTGTTGGTTGGGTTGGCGAGCGACCGGAATCATAATCGCACTGTTAGAGGTCACCACTTAATCACACGACTATTATGCACTATTATTGTTCCATTTAGAATTGGTTTGCATTTAGAATGCATAGAAAGGAGCACACAGATCAACTAACAATAAGTGGATGATGTGGTCCATAGACAACTACACACGATCGTCTGTCTACACGTCGTAGACATTTACGTCAAAAATTAAAATGCAGATGCGTTTTTACCCCTAAGGACTAAAATGGAACTCCTCGTTTCCTGTAAAAAGAGTAAACGGTGCTCGTCTGTCAACATACAAAACACAACACCAATATGTTGCTATTTCATTCTGGTATTCTGTGAGAGCGTGGTCTTTCGGGTTGGGTCAACCCATTCGTACTGTATTCATTAAACTCGTTTGATTCAGTGTAGCTCCACTACAAAAATGTTTAAGATACAAGGGGGTTAGACAAGAGAAGAGGGTTAGATTAGATACGAGGGAGAGGGAGGTTATGAATGCCTGGATTGTAAGTAGCATGTGAGGCCAATGGTAGTTTCTTTTGGTTTGCTTATATGTTGCCTGGACACGCGATGCACGTTTTGCCTTCATTATATCTCTAAATTATTTCTTGTTGTTCTTTCTTGTTTTCGGCAACTCATATACTCATATATACTGCGTTTGTATTGCATTGCCTATGTTCCTGACATTTATAATTGCGATTTTAAGTGCTGATTTCCTACTTGCACGACGGTGAAGGAAATTATTTAGCGCAAACTTACATATCAGGTAAATTAAAAATAATTCGATGATATGAAGATCGCCAAGCACTAAAACACCACAGCAAACCTCGCCTGCTTTATACGCTCTAGAATAATTTCTGAAAGATATGTATGCCCAGCTGAGAGACATGTATTATTTTAGTATTAAATAAAATGTCACTCTTAACTTACTTTTCAGGTGTGCCAATAAACTTGGTGCAAACCGCATCCCAACAGATCCGTAGTCACTGGTTTGTGCTGGACGTGCTCGCTACTTTGCCAGTGTTGGAGTTAATTTCTGACGGCCCTTATGCTGGCATCAACAAACTGCTCAGATTGCCAAAGGTTATTTTTATATGGATTTGATATTATGAAAAAAAAAAAGTTAAAGAAGATTCTTCTTTTATGGAACTTAAGTGAAAAACGAACTTACAGACTTCCTGATAGTAAGTGGTACTGCAGCCTATAGATTTTTTTTTACGAACGGACGGATTATGTCGAACTCGCACCAACGAAAACTCCATGGTGGTCAACCTTCGCCGCATATTGGCAAGGCCACGGGAACGCTTTCGCATACATCTGTGGCACCACCAACGTCGGCCATCTACCATGGCTACCCTTATTCTGAAGGGGACAACTCCTCCCCTTTTTCTTCTCAGATAAGGCGTGCCAGTAAACCGGCCTTTAAATCCATCCTGATGACGGACCCTCCCGAGTCCAATATAATTTGAGAATTATCCACTCGGAACTGTATCCACCAAAGCCAGAATGACGCTAGGTGGTAGGACTGCTTACCTGCCCAGGAGTACCATTTTTACCGTCAAGAAAAAAAAATAGAATGTAACATTAGAACGTAGTAGAAGCCTATGGCACTGATATTTTACAAAAAATAAAAACAAAAATTTCGAATTAAATAAATAATTTAATTAAAATCTATCGAACTTCAAATCATATCCACCCTAGCCTGTGTCTCTGCGAAGTAATAAGGTCAAAGATGCCTACAAATTTATTGCTTTATTGCCATTCGTAAATTAGTAGATGGAAAAACGGAATAATCTTTCCAATCCCTTGTTTCCTCATCCTTGTTCTATATTAAAAAAAATGTTATAAAAAATATTCTATTTAGGTCTTGCGATTTCTCAAGTCATTAGAAGACGACTGGGTGTACTACAGCAACTTCTTGAGATTGTTCTCGTACTCTTTTCTTCTGATCATAGCGTGTTACTTCGTCGCGGCGTTGCAGCAAGTCTTCATGTGCCACTGGTTAGACCAGTTACTTTTATTTTTTCTTTATCATAAATTTATATCTAAATTGCACGTAGACAACACAATGAAGTAATGATTTTCTATGTTTTTTCAACTTCAAACATAGAAGATTAGAATTGTATTGTCACTTCCGTAGACCAAAATGGAATACCTCTCAGTCTGTATGTGTCTGTGTAAGTCAGATAAAAACAGTAACTTTAACTTAAGTCTCTCTCAGATTTAGAACGGAGCACTGGCTGTAACTTGAGTTTACCGATATAGATTACAAGAATACGCTTTGATAGTCATTTATGCTTTTAGAATTGGTTCAGAAAAACCCTCTATTCTAGAAAGAACTAGTAAGAAACTCATCGGGACATTTTTTAAAAATATCAATTTACATTATTCTTCTTATAATTTTAGGTACAGCCATTGCTCTGTGACAAACTTCACTCATCCACCGTTTTGGAATCACGTGCCGGAAAATGTACACGCGCTGCTGGTTGGCGGCAGATAAAGATAAAGACTGATACTTATCCAAATGGTCTCCAATGGAATAAAATAGAATAGAATTTTTTTAACTTATAATTTAGAGAATAGAAGAAGATAGATTAGAGCTTAGCTCAGCTAGGTAACTCAGGAGCGAAAAGCCCTGATTTGATCTTCGCTGGCACAAATTATAAAATTGATCGCAATTTTAAATTCTGATTTAATACATGCTCATCGGTGAAGGAAAACATCGTGAGGAAACATGCATGTCTGATGAATTCAAAAAATATTTCGAAGATGATCGAAGTCCGCTAACACGAATTAGGGCGTGGTGGACGTTTATTTGCGCGCAAACGTTCTCCAAAATGAGAGGAGGCCTGTGCCCAGCTGTGGGTAGTATATAGGCTGTAACTTGAGTTTTCCGATATAGATTACAAGAATACGCTTTGATAGTCATTTATGCTTTTAGAATTGGTTCAGATAAACCCTTTATTCTGGAAAGAACTAGTAAGAAACTCATCGGGACATTTTTTTAAAATATCAATTTACATTATTCTTCTTATAATTTTAGGTACAGCCATTGCTCTGTGACAAACTTCACTCATCCACCGTTTTGGAATCACGTGCCGGAAAATGAACCTATTATCAGTAACAGCTTAACTTTCGGACTATATTGGGCCGTTTCAATTATCACCTTTACCAGTATGTTAAACCTTTCAATAAATTTTAAATAGAATAGCCAGGAAATTAAATTTGAAAATATGAATGTTATAACCTCCTCCAAAGATTACATCACAGGCGGGAATTTTACCGCGAGGGGAGGGGTAAGTTACGATATTAAGAGGCGCCGCTCTATCTACCCTGCGTGGCCGAAACTTGATTGGTGACGGAGGGTAGGGAGTGTGGCACCTCACAATATCGAGCTCGCTTTTTCCTGACCCCATGGCCTCCACATGTTAAGGCTTATGGCGCTGCGTTTTGTAAGAAAAGAGCTTACTTTCTTTATAAAATGCCAGCAACGCACCTGCAATTAATCTGGTGTTGCGGTTGTTCATGGGCGGCGGTAGTCACTTAACATCAGGAGAACGTATACTTGTTTGCCCCCTCTCCTATAAAAAAGTGGAGTTAGAGGTCGCGGATGGAGATGCGCCTTGTGTTCCTGGTGCACCTTACCTGTGAAGGTAAAGGGGGGAAGGGGGAGAATTCCTCTCCCAAGAAGGGGCTGCAATGGGGATAGATATGTGCGAAAGCGTCCCCGTGACCCTTTCAATATGCGGTGAAGGTGCAACACCATGAGATTGTAACACATTGATGATGCGTAGCCATTTCGCCACGTAAAAAGGGGAGGGGGATTTGCCATAATTGTCACGTTTAACAGGCTTGTTGGTAACCGTAGTTTTTATTATTTTAAACTAATATCAGGAAGGAGCCGCTGTAGCTCAGGGACTAAGCGCTTGCTGTTATGCCCGCTGGCACCAATGAAATTATTAATTGCAATTTTAAGTGCTGATTTGCCTCGTGCTCGGCGGTGAAGGAAACCATTGTGACGAAACCTGCATGTTTGAGAAATAACAAAGAAATATATTTCGAAGACTTGTAAAGTTCGCAAACACGCATTGAAGCAGCGCGGCGGACATTTCCTTGCCCTAAAACTCTCTCAGAAGTGAGAGGAGGCCTGTGTCCAACAGTGGGGCGTATATAGGTTGTAACTTTGCTGTACAGGAAGATTCTGCCCATCTCCTGCATCGGCTTCCCACTGTCACCTCTGACCGCACCCACAGGATGATATAAGGTAGTGGATTAGCTTAGGCTACCACAAGACGGCTTGGAAAATGTTTTTTTCTGAAACGAGTTTTTCCTTTTTAAGGTCACAAAGAGACGGCTGGCATACAAAACTGGAACAACTATTTCTACACGATGTTGGTGTTGGAGGTGTGCATCGTGCTGCATATATTTATCGAGGCCGTGTATTCCGCTACAATTATGGTGGCCACCGCACTAAGGTAAACAATCAATGTTTGAAATTATAACGAGTAAAGGTTTTAAATTCATGTAATATACAAATGCTTTACCGTGTAGTGTCGGAGTAAGAATATAAAAGTCATAAACAACACAAAGATATCAAAACGATCTCAATATCTTACAAACAGTTTTGGTGTTCCACAAGACAGTGTACTGGGACCTTTGCTGTTCTTGATATACATTAACGATCTTCCTGACTTTACTACAAGCAAATGCATTTTATTCGCTGATAACACTACTCTTATAGTTAAAGGTAATAACAGATCTGAACTTGAAATCGCAGCTTGAAGTGCTCTAAATGAGGTCATACAGTGGATGAATATAAATAATTTAGATATAAATATAAATAAGACGAAATTCATTGAATATAAAACCCTCAAAAACATTTCAAATGACATTAAACTCACATATAACAACTCGATAATTGAAGAAGTCGTTTCCAGAACATTTCTAGGAATAATTGATAAATTTTGTAGTTGGAAGCCTCATATAGAAAGCCTTTGTACTAAAATAGATCGTTTCGTTTTTGCATTGCGTAGACTAAGAAATATTGTATCAGAAAGAGCTGCACTGATGGCATATCATGGATATATCTCATCCATACTACGATATGGTGTTATACTCTGGGGGTATTCGGTGGATTCGGATAAAGCATTTAAAGCACAAAAACGCTGCATAAGAGCTCTTTGTGGTGTTGGTCCTTTAGTGAGTTGCAAACCTTTGTTCAAAACTAAAAAGATCCTGCCTTTGCCTTCATTATACATATTTGAAATGTGCATATTTGTTCATAAGCATCCACATTTATTTCAACGTAAGTGTGATGTGAGTGAAAGTAAGGGTAGATACAAGAATAGGTTATATGCGCCAGCAAATCGTCTAAAAGTTACAAAAAGAAATGCTTCTGCAATGTCGATTAGAATTTATAATAAATTACCTGATAATTTAAAGCGTAAAAGTTTATTGTCATTTAAGAAATCTATTTTGGCATTGTTGCTCCGTAAATGTTATTATTCTGTAGAAGAGTTCTTAAACGACAACGACCTACATACGAGTAATAATGAATGATAATTTTAGAATAGGATTAATTACGTAATTACAATATTCTGATATTTAAAAAAATAATGTTTTTGATATTATTTTACATAAAATTTGACTTATGTATCTAATTAATTAATAAATTTGATGTAAAAATAGAAAGATATTAATGACAATTGGATATGGAACATTATATAATCATTGACGTAAGAATAATAATTAATATATGACATTGACCTATAATAATAATCTTACTTGACATAATAATACTTATATTTTTTCTGACACTGTGGCATAATAAATTATTTATCAAATCAAGTAAATAATATTAAATAATTTTATATTTTGTTAAATTAATATATGTTGTTAAATTCGATAAGTATTGTTGTTTAGGTTACTTGACCATTAATATTTGCACACCACTAAGGTAGAATATGTAGAACGAATTATACTCAAACACCATTGTACAACCATATTCTTGCAAATAAAGATTATTATTATTATTATTATTGTGGGGTATCTATATAGTTTTCTCATCTGGTTGGGTTCTATAAATATATAATTATAAATGAAAATGAAAAGATAAATATACATAAATATCAATAACATAAAATAAATATAAAAGTACATAAATAAATAAAAGCCCAACCAGATGGAGGCCCTCGGCAGGGGAGACCAAACGGCCGAGGGTTAGGGGGAAAGGGAAAGAAACCGGCGGACGATGCGGGCGGTATCGAGGAGCACCGCCTTCTGCATTTGAACCTGGAGCGGTCCGCCACGTAGTCCCAGCCGCCTCAGATGACCCGAGAGGCTGACTGGGATTAGCCCGTTTGCAGAGACGACTACAGGAATAATTTCGGTCGGCAGACCACCCCACATGTCGGTCACCTCGTGAGCCAGGTCCAGATATTTTGTTTGCTTGTCTGTTTCGGCTTTCACGAGGTTCTCGTCATACGGAATGGTAATGTCGACCAAAAATATCCTTGACTGTGCCCGGTCCATCAGCACAATATCAGGCTTATTCGCAAGAATAGTCCTGTCTGTGATGATGGCCCGGTCCCAATAGAGCCTGGCGCGATCATTTTCGAGCACGGCTTCCGGCAAGTACTTGTAATACGGCAAATTTCCGATCCACGAGACCGTATTTCAGAGCGAGCTCCTGGTGTAGAATTCTGGCTACTAGGTTGTGCCTGTGCAAGTACTCAGAATTAGAAAGCGCCGAACAACCGGAGATAACATGCCTAAGTGACTCACCGGGATGGCGACAAGCTCGACAGATGTCGACGGTGCCATCCTTTAGGATGTATCTCCGATAGTTGTTGGTCTTAATAACCTGATCCTGTATTGCACAGACAAAACCCTTCGGTTTCCCCCGAAGAGATCACCAAAGCGTAGCCAGTGGAGGGAGGCTACTGTGTCTACGAAAGGCTCATATAGAGCCCTGTAGAACCTCCTGTGGAGCTCCTTCTCCTTCCATACGGTCTCCCGGTCGAAAATGCTCTGCACTGCCGAGTCTTGCCATTGCTCGTTGGCTAAGGATAGAGGGGTAAGTCCTTTATTACAATAAATGACGTCCTTATAGAATGGATCATCCGATCTCGCCAGGAAGTAATCACGGAGGCTGCACACTTCGCGATTATGCATGGTGAGCGCGCTCAAGAAGCCACGACCACCATGCTTCCGCGACAAGTACAGCCTCATTACCGACGATCTCGGATGATGCATCCTATGGGACGTCATGGTAGTGCGGACTTTTCTATCCAGGGCGTTAAGTTCAGTCTGAGTCCACCTGAGTATGCCAAAGGTATACATGAGGACAGGCATGACCCAGCCGTTATATGCGTGTGCCTTATTCACACCGGACAAAAGGCTGTTAAGCACTTTGGTCAAGCGTGCATAAAACACGTCGCAAACTGACTGTTTCATACCAGTCTCATCGATACCGATGTTTTGTGACATACCCAGGTATCGGTATGTTTCAGCCTCGGAAAGGGTCCTTAAGTTGACGGGCATAGATAAGTCTACGCCCTCAGAGTTAGCAACCCTTCCCCTTTCAACATGGAGGACCGCACACTTATCCGTCCCCAGCTCCATTCCAATGGAATTGCTAAATTCACAAGTGATGTTTAGCAATTCCATAAGATGGGAGCGACTGGAGGCGAATAACTTGAGGTCATCCATATAGAAAAGGTGGGTCACTTTTGTCCCTCCTTTCCGTAGCTGAAATCCCCTCCCGGAGCCCTCCAGTAAGGTACTGAGAGGGTTCAGCGAGAGGCAGAACCAAATTGGACTCAGACAATCGCCCTGGAAGATACCCCTTCTTATCCTTATGTGGTTCTCCGCAGCCATCATCCGCTCGCCTAGATGACAAAGGATCGTACTCCACTGCCCCATACACTGCTCGAGGAAGTCTCTAACTGTACAGTCTATCTTGTACAGCTCGAGGACTCTCTTTAGCCATGTATGGGGCACCGAGTCGAATGCCTTTCTGTAGTCTATCCAGGCGGCGGAGAAGTTCCGACGGTTGCGTTTCACCACTTTGCCAATGACCGCGTCAATGAGGAGTGGTTCCTTGGTTCCACGACCACCACCCCGACATCCATTTTGAGCGCGCGACATCACCTGATTTGAGTCCAGGTGACAAGTGATTCTCGCGCTCAAAATGGATGTTAGTGTCTTGTATATGGTCGGTAGACACGTGATGGGGCGGTATTTGCTCGGGTCTGTAGTACCCTGGTCTTTAGGAACCAAATGAGTGATCCCAGTAGTGAAGAAGCTTGGGAGCGACTTCTGGTTGAGAGCCTCTTGAAACTGTCGGGCGAGCACAGAGTGACACACCATGAACCCCTTCAGCCAGTAGTGATGCAGCCCGTCAAGCCCCGGACTTTTCCAGTTCGGGGCCCTACGGACCGCCTCAGCTACGTCATCCGGCGTTACGATGACGGGGTCCGTGGGCGTAATACTCGCACACTGACTCGCCACAACTTCCGTCCAAGGGCCCTCGCTGTGGTTTACGGGCTCTGACCACAGGCCGCGCCAGAATGCTACAGTGTCGGCCTGATTCGGTGCTGGACCCGTTCCACTTACCATTGGTCGCTCCAATGATTCATAGAGCCTCTTCTGATCACTCTGGAAGAGACGATTCTGGTTGAACCGTGTCGACCTCTCGGTATATCGCCGAATCCGCTTTCCCCAAGCAGCGATTCTCTGCTTCAGATCATCTATGCGCTCCGTGAGTTTTTGCGTTATATCCGGCTGGGACAAACTGACATTTGTCCCAGCAAACGCCATCCTGACGGTGCGCACAATTCTTGGCCTGTTGTTGCCTGATCTGAAGCATATCAGTCTGCCGATGAGAGCTCTAGCCTTTGCGATACGTTCTTCAATTCTTCTTCTCCATGCTGGGATAGCGCTACTATGGCCAGTAGCGCGTCCAGCCGTGGAAACCTTGGCGCCTATGATACGGCAGACTGCCAGCGCGGCGCCAAAAAGAATTGAGTCCGTCTCGCAAAGGTCCCGGCTGGCTTCCAAATAGGTAACCAGCATTGGGTTCAGAGCCCTCACGACAGCCCGATTCCGCTTGCTTAGGGCTATGCGGGGAAGTCGCGGTCGATTTTCGAGAGGCGTACTGCGCGTTTCCACAATCGCCTCTTCCAATATACTCCTCATATGCTCTAATTCCAGTTCCTGGGCGACTGTTCCATCATCGTTTGAATCAACCACAACTGGGGTATTCACGGCGGCATCCACGTTTGCGGGTTGCTCTACCATTTGTGGTGCCGCATCCTCAGCCGTAGCATTCTCATCCGACGAGGGAACAGCCTCACGTCGTAGCCGATCGAGTTCGGCGACATCAAATATATTTGAGCGCAAGATATACCGAACTCGGTCTGCCAGGTTTTGCTCTATGACGATTAAAGATGGCTCCAGCTCAGCAAAAAGACGATGCATCCTAGCCCGATACGCCAAACATCCAGTTTCTTCCCCTTTTGCCCTAAAGTACGCCCGCAGTGCGTTTGCATTCATTTCTTGTGACCAACGCATGCGACGTGCTCCACCAGCGGCGGGTGCCGCTTGCTGAGTCCGAGAAGACCCAGCCGACACCAAGCCTTCTGGTGGGGATGATGGATGCGGAGGGCTGATAGATGACCGTGCAGCTCCTCGCGCTCGGCTGGCGGCCCGCATGCTGCCGCGTCCAGCGCCAGCTCCAGACGCGCCCCGGCGACCCCCTGGCAGCGGCCCTTTGCGCACTATCTTATTATTATTATTATTGGGGTATCTATATAGTTTTCTCATCTGGTTGGGTGCTATAAATATATAATTATAAATGAAAATGAAAAGATAAATATACATAAATATCAATAACATAAAATAAATATAAAAGTACATAAATAAATAAAAGCCCAACCAGATGGAGGCCCTCGGCAGGGGAGACCAAACGGCCGAGGGTTAGGGGGAAAGGGAAAGAAACCGGCGGACGATGCGGGCGGTATCGAGGAGCACCGCCTTCTGCATTTGAACCTGGAGCGGTCCGCCACGTAGTCCCAGCCGCCTCAGATGACCCGAGAGGCTGACTGGGATTAGCCCGTTTGCAGAGACGACTACAGGAATAATTTCGGTCGGCAGACCCCCCCCACATGTCGGTCACCTCGTGAGCCAGGTCCAGATATTTTGTTTGCTTGTCTGTTTCGGCTTTCACGAGGTTCTCGTCATACGGAATGGTAATGTCGACCAAAAATATCCTTGACTGTGCCCGGTCCATCAGCACAATATCAGGCTTATTCGCAAGAATAGTCCTGTCTGTGATGATGGCCCGGTCCCAATAGAGCCTGGCGCGATCATTTTCGAGCACGGCTTCCGGCAAGTACTTGTAATACGGCAATTTCCGATCCACGAGACCGTATTTCAGAGCGAGCTCCTGGTGTAGAATTCTGGCTACTAGGTTGTGCCTGTGCAAGTACTCAGAGTTAGAAAGCGCCGAACAACCGGAGATAACATGCCTAAGTGACTCACCGGGATGGCGACAAGCTCGACAGATGTCGACGGTGCCATCCTTTAGGATGTATCTCCGATAGTTGTTGGTCTTAATAACCTGATCCTGTATTGCACAGACAAAACCCTCGGTTTCCCCCGAAGAGATCACCAAAGCGTAGCCAGTGGAGGGAGGCTACTGTATCTACGAAAGGCTCATGTAGAGTCTTATAGAACCTCCCGGGTAGCTCCTTCTCCTTTTATACGGTCTCCCAGTCGGCAATGCTATGCACTGTCGGGTCCTGCCACTTCTCGTGGGCTAAGGATAGAGGGGTAAGTCCTTTATCACAAGAAATGACGTCCTTATAGAATGGATCATCCGATCTCGCCAAGAAGTAATCACGGAGGCTGCACACTTCGCGATTATGCATGGTGAGCGCGCTCAAGAAGCCACGACCACCATGCTTCCGCGGCAAATACAGCCTCATTACCGACGATCTCGGATGATGCATCCTATGGGATTCTCGTCATTGTAGTGCGGACTTTTCTATCCAGGGCGTTAAGTTCAGTCTGAGTCCACCTGAGTATGCCAAAGGTATACATGAGGACAGGCATGACCCAGCCGTTATATGCGTGTGCCTTATTCACACCGGACAAAAGGCTGTTAAGCACTTTGGTCAAGCGTGCATAAAACACGTCGCAAACTGACTGTTTCATACCAGTCTCATCGATACCGATGTTTTGTGACATACCCAGGTATCGGTATGTTTCAGCCTCGGAAAGGGTCCTTAAGTTGACGGGCATAGATAAGTCTACGCCCTCAGAGTTAGCAACCCTTCCCCTTTCAACATGGAGTACCGCACACTTATCCATCCCCAGCTCCATTCCAATGGAATTGCTAAATTCACAAGTGATGTTTAGCAATTCCATAAGATGGGAGCGACTGGAGGCGAATAACTTGAGGTCATCCATATAGAAAAGGTGGGTCACTTTTGTCCCTCCTTTCCGTAGCTGAAATCCCCTCCCGGAGCCCTCCAGTAAGGTACTGAGAGGGTTCAGCGAGAGGCAGAACCAGATTGGACTCAGACAATCGCCCTGGAAGATACCCCTTCCTATCCTTATGTGGTTCTCCGCAGCCATCATCCGCTCGCCCAGATGACAAAGGATCGTACTCCACTGCCCCATACACTGCTCGAGGAAGTCTCTAACTGTACAGTCTATCTTGTACAGCTCGAGGACTCTCTTTAGCCATGTATGGGGCACCGAGTCGAATGCCTTTCTGTAGTCTATCCAGGCGGCGGAGAAGTTCCGACGGTTGCGTTTCACCACTTTGCCAATGACCGCGTCAATGAGGAGTGGTTCCTTGGTTCCACGACCACCACCCCGACATCCATTTTGAGCGCGCGACATCACCTGATTTGAGTCCAGGTGACAAGTGATTCTCGCGCTCAAAATGGATGTTAGTGTCTTGTATATGGTCGGTAGACACGTGATGGGGCGGTATTTGCTCGGGTCTGTGGTACCCTGGTCTTTAGGAACCAAATGAGTGATCCCAGTAGTGAAGAGGCTTGGGAGCGACTTCTGGTTGAGAGCCTCTTGAAACTGTCGGGCGAGCACATAGTGACACACCATGAACCCCTTCAGCCAGTAGTGATGCAGCCCGTCAAGCCCCGGACTTTTCCAGTTCGGGGCCCTACGGACCGCCTCAGCTACGTCATCCGGCGTTATGATGACGGGGTCCATGGGCGTAATACCCGCACACTGACTCGCCACAACTTCCGTCCAAGGGCCCTCGCTATGGTTTACGGGCTCTGACCACAGGCCGCGCCAGAATGCTACAGTGTCGGCCTGATTCGGTGCTGGACCCGTTCCACTTACCATTGTTCGCTCCAATGATTCATAGAGCCTCTTCTGATCACTCTGGAAGAGACGATTCTGGTTGAACCGTGTCGACCTCTCGGTATATCGCCGAATCCGCTTTCCCCAAGCAGCGATTCTCTGCTTCAGATCATCTATGCGCTCCGTCAGTTTTTGCGTTATATCCGGCTGGGACAAACTAACATTTGTCCCAGCAAACGCCATCCTGACGGTGCGCACAATCCTTGGCCTGGTATTGCCTGACCTGAAGCATATCAGTCTGCCGATGAGGGCCCTAGCCTTTGCGATACGTTCTTCAATTCTTATTCTCCAGGCTGGGATAGCACCACTATGGCCAGTAGCGCGTCCAGCCGTGGAAACCTTGGCGCCTATGATACGGCAGACTGCCAGCGCGGCGCCAAAAAGAATTGAGTCCGTCTCGCAAAGGTCCCGGCTGGCTTCCAAATAGGTAACCAGCATTGGGTTCAGAGCCCTCACGACAGCCCGATTCCGCTTGCTTAGGGCTATGCGGGGAAGTCGCGGTCGATTTTCGAGAGGCGTACTGCGCGTTTCCACAATCGCCTCTTCCAATATACTCCTCATATGCTCTAATTCCAGTTCCTGGGCGACTGTTCCATCATCGTTTGAATCAACCACAACTGGGGTATTCACGGCGGCATCCACGTTTGCGGGTTGCTCTACCATTTGTGGCGCCGCATCCTCAGCCGTAGCATTCTCATCCGACGAGGGAACAGCCTCACGTCGTAGCCGTTCGAGTTCGGCGACATCAAATATATTTGAGCGCAAGATATACCGAACTCGGTCTGCCAGGTTTTGCTCTGTGACGGTTAAAGATGGCTCCAGCTCAGCAAAAAGACGATGCATCCTAGTCCGATACGCCAAACATCCAGTTTCTTCCCCTTTTTGCCCTAAAGTACGCCCGCAGTGCGTTTGCATTCATTTCTTGTGACCAACGCATGCGACGTGCTCCACCAGCGGCGGGTGCCGCTTGCTGAGTCCGAGAAGACCCAGCCGACACCAAGCCTTCTGGTGGGGATTATTATTTTTGTGGGGTATCTATATAGTTTTCTCATCTGGTTGGATTCTATAAATATATAATTATAAATGAAAATGAAAAAGATAAATATACATAAATATCAATAACATAAAATAAATATAAAAGTACATAAATAAATAAAAGCCCAACCAGATGGAGGCCCTCGGCAGGGGAGACCAAACGGCCGAGGGTTAGGGGGAAAGGGAAAGAAACCGGCGGACGATGCGGGCGGTATCGAGGAGCACCGCCTTCTGCATTTGAACCTGGAGCGGTCCGCCACGTAGTCCCAGCCGCCTCAGATGACCCGAGAGGCTGACTGGGATTCGCCCGTTTGCAGAGACGACTACAGGAATAATTTCGGTCGGCAGACCACCCCACATGTCGGTCACCTCGTGAGCCAGGTCCAGATATTTTGTTTGCTTGTCTGTTTCGGCTTTCACGAGGTTCTCGTCATACGGAATGGTAATGTCGACCAAAAATATCCTTGACTGTGCCCGGTCCATCAGCACAATATCAGGCTTATTCGCAAGAATAGTCCTGTCTGTGATGATGGCCCGGTCCCAATAGAGCCTGGCGCGATCATTTTCGAGCACGGCTTCCGGCAAGTACTTGTAATACGGCAATTTCCGATCCACGAGACCGTATTTCAGAGCGAGCTCCTGGTGTAGAATTCTGGCTACTAGGTTGTGCCTGTGCAAGTACTCAGAGTTAGAAAGCGCCGAACAACCGGAGATAACATGCCTAAGTAACTCACCGGGATGGCGACAAGCTCGACAGATGTCGACGGTGCCATCCTTTAGGATGTATCTCCGATAGTTGTTGGTCTTAATAACCTGATCCTGTATTGCACAGACAAAACCCTCGGTTTCCCCCGAAGAGATCACCAAAGCGTAGCCAGTGGAGGGAGGCTACTGTGTCTACGAAAGGCTCATGTAGAGCCTTGTAGAACCTCCCGTGGAGCTCCTTCTCCTTCCATACGGTCTCCCGGTCGGAAATGCTCTGCACTGCCGGGTCTTGCCATTGCTCGTTGGCTAAGGATAGAGGGGTAAGTCCTTTATCACAAGAAATGACGTCCTTATAGAATGGATCATCCGATCTCGCAAGGAAGTAATCACGGAGGCTGCACACTTCGCGATTATGCATGGTGAGCGCGCTCAAGAAGCCACGACCACCATGCTTCCGCGGCAAGTACAGCCTCATTACCGACGATCTCGGATGATGCATCCTATGGGACGTCATAGTAGTGCGGACTTTTCTATCCAGGGCGTTAAGTTCAGTCTGAGTCCACCTGAGTATGCCAAAGGTATACATGAGGACAGGCATGACCCAACCGTTATATGCGTGTGCCTTATTCACACTGGACAAAAGGCTAAATTCACACGTGATGTTTAGCAATTCCATAAGATGGGAGCGACTGGAGGCGAATAACTTGAGGTCATCCATATAGAAAAGGTGGGTCACTTTTGTACCTCCTTTCCGAAGCTGAAATCCCCTCCCGGAGCCCTCCAGTAAAGTACTGAGAGGGTTCAAAGAGAGGCAGAACCAGATTGGACTCAGACAGTCGCCCTGGAATATACCCCTTCTTATCCTTATGCGGCTTTCCGCAGCCGTCATCCGCTCGCCTAGATGACAGAGGATCGTACTCCACTGCCCCATACACTGCTCGAGGAAGTCTCGAACTGTACAGTCAATCTTGTACAGCTCGAGGACCCTCTTTAGCCATGTATGGGGTACCGAGTAAAATGCCTTTCTGTAATCTATCCAGGCGGCGGAGAAGTTCCGACGGTTGCGTTTCACCACTTTGGCAATGACCGCGTCAATGAGGAGTGGTTCCTTGGTTCCACGACCGCCGCCCCGACATCCATTTTGAGCGCGCGATATCACCTGATGTAAGTCCAGGTGACGAGCGATTCTTGCGCTCAAAATGGATGTTAGTGTCTTGTATATGGTCGGTAGACACGTGATGGGGCGGTATTTGCTCGGGTCTGTGGCACCCTGATCTTTAGGAACCAAATGAGTGATCCCAGTAGTGAAGAGGCTTGGGAGCGACTTCTGGTTGAGAGCCTCTTGAAACTGTCGGGCGAGCACAGAGTGACACACCATGAACCCCTTCAGCCAGTAGTGATGCAGCCCGTCAAGCCCCGGACTTTTCCAGTTCGGGGCCCTACGGACCGCCTCAGCTACGTCATCCGGCGTTATGATGACGGGGTCCATGGGCGTAATACTCGCACACTGACTCGCCACAACTTCCGTCCAAGGGCCCTCGTTGTGGTTTACGGGCTCTGACCACAGGCTGCGCCAGAATGCGACCATGTCGGCCTGATTTGGTGCAGGGCCCGTTCCACTTACTATTGGTCGCTCCAATGATTTATAGAGCCTCTTCTGATCACTCTGGAAGAGACGATTCTGGTTGAACCGTGTCGACCTCTCGGTATATCGCCGAATCCGCTTTCCCCAAGCAGCTATTCTTTGCTTCAGGTCGTCTATGCGCTCCGTCAGTTTTTGCATTATATCCGGCTGGGCCAAACTAACATTTGTCCCAGCAAACGCCATCCTGACGGTGCGCACAATCCTTGGCCTGGTATTGCCTGACCTGAAGCATATCAGTCTGCCGATGAGGGCCCTAGCCTTTGCGATACGTTCTTCAATTCTTATTCTCCAGGCTGGGATAGCACTACTTTGTCCAGTAGCGCGTCCAGCCGTGGAAAGTTTGGCACCTGGATTCATTATTATTATGTGGGGGTATCAATATAGTTTTCTCATCTGGTTGGGTTCTATAAATATATAATTATAAATTAAAATGAAAAGATAAATATACATAAATATCAATAAAATAAAATAAATACAAAAAATACACAAATAAATAAAGATCCAACCAGATGGAAGCCCTCGGCAGGGGAGACCAAACGGCCGAGGGTTAGGGGGAAAGGGAAAGAAACCGACGGACGATGCGGGCGGTATCGAGGACCACTGCCTTCTGCATTTGAGCCAGGAGCGGTCCGTCACGGAGTCCCAGTCGCCTCAGATGACCCGAGAGGCTGACTGGGATTAGCCCATTCGCAGAGACGACTACAGGAATAATTTCGGTCGGCCAACCACCCCACATGTCGGTCACCTCGTGAGCCAGGTCCAGATATTTTGTTCGCTTATCTGTTTCGGCTTTCACGAGGTTCTCGTCATACGGAATGGTAATGTCGACCAAAAATATCCTTGACTGTGCCCGGTCCATCAGCACAATATCAGGCTTATTTGCAAGAATAGTCCTGTCTGTGATGATGGCCCGGTCCCAGTAGAGCCTGGCGCGGTCATTTTCGAGCACGGCTTCCGGCAAGTACTTGTAATACGGCAATTTCCGGTCCACGAGACCGTATTTCAGAGCGAGCTCCTGGTGTAGAATTCTGGCTACTAGGTTGTGCCTGTGCAAGTACTCAGAGTTAGAAAGCGCCGAACAACCGGAGATGACATGCCTAAGTGACTCCCCGGGATGGCGACAAGCTCGACAGACGTCGACGGTGCCATCCTTTAGGATGTATCTCCGATAGTTGTTGGTCTTAATAACCTGATCCTGTATTGCACAGACAAAACCCTCGGTTTCCCCGAAGAGGTCACCGAAACGTAGCCAGTTGAGGGAGGCGACTGTATCTATGAAGGGCTCATGTAGAGCCCTGTAGTACCTCCCGTGGAGCTCCTTCTCCTTCCATACGGTCTCCCGGTCGGAAATGCTAAGCACTGCTGGGTCCTGCCATTGCTCGTTGGCCAAGGATAGAGGGGTAAGCCCTTTATCACTAGAAATGACGTCATTATAGAATGGATCATCCGATCTCGCCAGGAAGTAATCACGGAGGCTGCACACTTCACGATTATGCATAGTGAGCGCGCTCAGAAAGCCACGCCCACCATGCTTTCGCGGCAAGTACAGCCTCATTACCGACGATCTCGGATGATGCATCCTATGGGACGTCATGGTAGTGCGGACTTTTCTATCCAGGGCGTTAAGTTCAGTCTGAGTCCACCTGAGTATGCCAAAGGTATACATAAGGACAGGTATGACCCAACCGTTATATGCGTGTGTCTTATTCACACCGGACAAAAGGCTATTAAGCACTTTGGTCAAGCGTGCATAAAACACGTCGCAAACTGACTGTTTCATACCAGCCTCATCGATACCGATGTTCTGTGACATACCCAGGTATCGGTATGTTTCAGCCTCGGAAAGGGTCCTTAAGTTGACGGGCATAGATAAATCTATGCCCTCAGAGTTAGCAACCCTTCCCCTCTCAACATGGAGGACCGCACACTTATCCGTCCCCAGCTCCATTCTAATAGAATTGCTAAATTCACAAGTGATGTTTAGCAATTCCATAAGATGGGAGCGACTGGAGGCGAATAACTTAAGGTCATCCATATAGAAAAGGTGGGTCACTTTTGTCCCTCCTTTTCGAAGCTGAAATCCCCCTCCCGGATCCCTCCAGTAAGGTACTGAGAGGGTTCAGGGAGAGGCAGAATCAGATTGGACTCAGACAATCGCCCTGGAAGATACCCCTTCTTATCCTTATGTGGTTCTCCGCAGCCATCATCCGCTCACCCAGATGACAAAGAATCGTACTCCACTGCCCCATACACTGCTCGAGGAAGTCTCTCACTGTACAGTCTATCTTGTACAGCTCGAGGACTCTCTTTAGCCATGTATGGGGCACCGAGTCGAATGCCTTTCTGTAGTCTATCCAGGCGGCGGAGAAGTTACGACGGTTGCGTTTCACCACTTTGCCAATGACCTTGTCAATGAGGAGTGGTTCCTTAGTTCCACGACCACCGCCCCGACATCCATTTTGAGCGCGTGACATCATCTGATTTAGCTCCAGGTGACGAGTAATTCTCGCGCTCAAAATGGATGTCAGTGTCTTATATATGGTGGGTAGACACGTAATGGGGCGGTATTTGCTCGGGTCTGTGGTAACCTGGTCTTTAGGAACCAAATGAGTGATCCCAGTAGTGAAGAGGCTAGGGAGCGACTTCTGGTTGAGAGCCTCTTGAAACTGACGGGCGAGCACAGCGTGACACACCATGAACCCCTTCAGCCAGTAGTGATGCAGTCCGTCGAGTCCCGGACTTTTCCAGTTCGGGGCTCTACGGACCGCCTCAGCTACGTCATCCGGCGTTATGATGACGGGGTCCATGGGCGTAATCCTCGCACACTGACTCGCCACAACTTCCGTCCAAGGGCCCTCGCTGTGGTTTACGGGCTCTGACCACAGGCCACGCCAAAATGCGACAGTGTTAGCCTGGTCCGGTCCTGGGCCCGCTCCACATACCTCTGGTCGCTCCAATGATTTGTAGAGCCTCTTCTGATCACTCTGGAAGAGACGATTCTGGTTGAACCGCCTTGACCTCTCAGTAAATCGGCGAATCCGCTTTCCCCAAGCAGCAATCTTTTGCTTCAGGTCGTCTATGCGCTCCGTTAGTTTCTGCGTGATATCCGGCTGGGACAAACTGATATTTGTCCCAGCAAACGCCATTCTAACGGTGCGCACAACCCTCGGTCTATTATTACCCGACCTGAAGCTTATCAGTCTGCCGATAAGGGCCCTTGCCTTTGCGATACGGTCCTCAATTCTTTTTCTCCAGGCTGGGATGGCGCTACTTTGTTTAGTAGCGCGTCCAGCCATGGTAAGTTTGGCGCCAATAATACGGCAAGCTGCCACTGCGGCGCCAAAAAGAACTGAGTCCGTCTCGCAAAGGTCCCGGCTGGCTTCCAAATAGGTTACCAGCATTGGGTTAAGAGCCCTCACGACAGCCCGATTTCGCTTGCTTAGAGGTATGCGGGGAAGTCGCGGTCGATTTTCGAGAGGCATGCTGCGCGTTTCCAAAATCGCCTCTTCCAATATACTCCTCATTTGCTCTAGTTCGTGGGAGACCATTTCATCATCATCTGAATCAACCACAACTGGAAGATCCATGGCGGCTTCTACGCGTGGCAGCTGGTCTGTCGCCTGAGGAGCCGCATCCCCAGCCGTAGCCAATTCATTCGATGAGGGAATGGCCTCACGTCGTAGTCGTTCGAGCTCGGCATCATCGAATATTTTCGAGCGCATGATGTACCGAACTCGGTCTGCCAGGTTTTGTTCCGTGACGGGAATAGACGGCTCCAGCTCAGCAAAAAAGCAATGCATCCGAGCCCGATACGCTATCCCCGCTGTTTCTTCCCCTTTCGCCCTATAGTACGCCCGCAATGCGTTTGCGTTCATATCCCTTGTCCAACGCATGCGGCGCACTCCACCAGCGGCGGATGCCGCTTGCCGAGTCCGAGAGGACCCTGCCGACATCAAGCCGTCTGGTGGGGATGATGGATGCGGGGGGCTGTTAGGTGTTCTTGCAGCTCCTCGCGCTCGGCTGGCGGCCCGCATGCTGCCGCGTCCAGCGCCAGCTCCAGACGCGCCCCGGCGACCCCCAGGCAGCGGCCCTATACGTTTTCCAATCATATCCATCATCCATTTTTTTTGGGCGCCAATTAACGGGAGACGCCCAGGCCCGGCACCGTTTCATTGTATCATTGTACGGCCGTAAGCACAAACGGGCCTTTGCACCCTGAGTACTGCCGAGGCACGGCGCTCACACCTCTTGGCAAGGCGCTGACTGACTGCACCGACGTAGCAGTTTTGTCACTTAACTGTTTCGTCAGCGGGCGATGGGGTCGTCACTTCCCTACGCCTTTTTATTTATTATTATTATTATTATGTGTGGGGTATCTATATAGTTTTCTCATCTGGTTGGGATGTATAAATATATATTTATAAACGAAAATGAAAGGATAAATATACATAAATATCAATAAAATAAAATAAATACAAAAATACATAAATAAATAAAAGCCCAACCAGATGGAAGCCCTCGGCAGGGGAGACCAAACGGCCAAGGGTTAGGAAGAAAGGGAAAGAAACCGGCGGACGATGCGGGCGGTATCAAGGAGCACCGCCTTCTGCATTTTAACCCGGAGCGGTCCGTCACGGAGTCCCAGTCGCCTCAGATGACCAGAGAGGCTAACTGGGATTAGCCCGTTCGCAGAGACGACTACAGGAATAATTTCGGCCGGCAGACCACCCCACATGTCCGTCACCTCGTGAGCCAGGTCCAGATATTTTGATTGCTTATCTGTTTCGGCTCTCACGAGGTTCTCGTCATACGGGATGTTAATATCGACCAAAAATATCCTTGACTGTGCCCGGTCCATCAGCACAATATCAGGCTTATTCGCAAGAATAGTCCTGTCTGTGATGATGGCCCGGTCCCAGTAGAGTCTGGCGCGGTCATTTTCGAGCACGGCTTCCGGCAAGTACTTGTAATACGGCAATTTCCGGTCCACGAGACCGTATTTCAGAGCGAGCTCCTGGTGTAGAATTCTGGCTACTAGGTTGTGCCTGTGCAAGTACTCAGAGTTAGAAAGCGCCGAACAACCGGAGATGACATGCCTAAGTGACTCCCCGGGATGGCGACAAGCTCGACAGACGTCGACGGTGCCATCCTTTAGGATGTATCTCCGATAGTTGTTGGTCTTAATAACCTGATCCTGTATTGCACAGACAAAACCCTCGGTTTCCCCCGAAGAGGTCACCGAAACGTAGCCAGTTGAGGGAGGCGACTGTATCTACGAAGGGCTCATGTAGAGCCTTGTAGTACCTCCCGTGGAGCTCCTTCTCCTTCCATACGGTCTCCCGGTCGGAATTGCTAAGCACTGCTGGGTCCTGCCATTGCTCGTTGGCTAAGGATAGAGGGGTAAGCCCTTTATCACTAGAAATGACGTCATTATAGAATGGATCATCCGATCTCGCCAAGAAGTACTGACGGAGACTGCACACTTCGCGATTATGCATGGTGAGCGCGCTCAGAAAGCCACGCCCACCATACTTCCGCGGCAAGTACAGCCTCATTACCGACGATCTCGGATGATGCATCCTATGGGACGTCATGGTAGTGCGGACTTTTCTATCCAGGGCGTTAAGCTCAGTCTGAGTCCACCTGAGTATGCCAAAGGTATACATGAGGACAGGCATGACCCAGCCGTTATATGCATGTGTTTTATTCACACCGGACAAAAGGCTGTTAAGCACTTTGGTCAAGCGTGCATAAAACACGTCGCAAACTGACTGTTTCATACCAGCCTCATCGATACCGATGTTCTGTGACATACCCAGGTATCGGTATGTTTCAGCCTCGGAAAGGGTCCTTAAGTTGACGGGCATAGACAAGTCTATGCCCTCAGAGTTAGCAACCCTTCCCCTTTCAACATGGAGGACCGCACACTTATCCGTCCCCAGCTCCATTCCAATGGAACTGCTAAATTCACAAGTGATGTTTAGCAGTTCCATAAGATGGGAGCGACTGGAAGCGAATAACTTGAGGTCATCCATATAAAAAGGTGGGTCACTTTTGTCCCTCCTTTCCGTAGCTGAAATCCCCTCCCGGAGCCCTCCAGTAAGGTACTGAGAGGGTTAAGAGAGAGGCAGAACCAGATTGGACTCAGACAATCGCCCTGGAAGATACCCCTTCTTATCCTTATGTGGTTCTCCGCAGCCGTCATCCGCTCGCCCAGATGACAAAGGATCGTACTCCACTGCCCCATACACTGCTCGAGGAAGTCTCTAACTGTACAGTCAATCTTGTACAGCTCGAGGACCCTCTTTAGCCATGTATGGGGCACCGAGTCGAACGCCTTTCTGTAGTCTATCCAGGCGGCAGAGAAGTTCCGACGGTTGCGTTTCACCACTTTGCCTATGACCGCGTCAATGAGGAGTGGTTCCTTAGTTCCACGACCACCGCCCCGACATCCATTTTGAGCGCGTGACATCACCTGGTTTAGCTCCAGGTGACGAGTGATTCTCGCGCTCAAAATGGATGTCAGTGTCTTATATATGGTGGGTAGACACGTGATGGGGCGGTATTTGCTCGGGTCTGTGGTATCCTGATCTTTAGGAACCAAGTGAGTGATCCCAGTAGTGAAGAGGCTCGGGAGTGACTTCTGGTCGAGAGCCTCTTGAAACTGTCGGGCGAGCACAGCGTGACATACTACGAACCCCTTCAGCCAGTAATGATGCAGCCCGTTGAGCCCCGGACTTTTCCAGTTCGGGGCCCTACGGACCGCCTCAGCCACGTCTTCTGGCGTTATGGTGATGGGGTCCATAGGCGTAACACTCGCACCCTGGCTCGCCACAACTTCCATCCAAGGGCCCTCACTGTGGTTTACGGGCTCTGACCACAGGCCACGCCAGAATGCGATAATGTCAGCCTGATCCGGTCCTTGGCCCGCTCCACATACCTTTGGTCGCTCCAATAATTTATAGAGCCTCTTCTGATCACTCTGGAAGAGACGATTCTGGTTGAACCGCCTTGACCCCTCGGAAAATCGTCGAATCCGCTTCCCCCAAGCAGCGATCTTTTGCTTCAGGTCGTCTATGCGCTCCGTTAGTTTCTGCGTGATATCCGGCTGGGACAAACTGATATTTGTCCCAGCAAACGCCATCCTAACGGTGCGCATAATCCTCGGTCTATTATTACCCGACCTGAAGCTTGTCAGTCTGCCGATAAGGGCCCTTGCCTTTGCGATACGGTCCTCGATTCTTTTCCTCCAGGCTGGGATGGCGTTACTTTGTGTAGTAGCGCGTCCAGCCATGGGAAGTTTGGCGCCAATCATACGGCAAACTGCCACTGCGGCGCCAAAGAGAATCGAGTCCGTCTCGCAAAGGTCCCGGCTGGCTTCCAAATAGGTCACCAGCATTGGGTTAAGAGCCCTCACGACAGCCCGATTTCGCTTGCTTAAGGGTATGCGGGGGAAGTCGCGGTCGATTTTCGAGAGGGGTGCTGCGCGTTTCCAAAATCGCCTCTTCCAATATACTCCTCATTTGCTCTAGTTCGTGGGAGACTATTTCATCGTCGTTCGAATCAACCACAACTGGAAGATCCATGGCGGCTTCCACGTGTGGATGCTGGTCTGTCGAATGTGGAGCTGCATCTCCAGCCATAGCCGATTCATTCGACGACGGATTAGCCTCACGTCGTAGTCGTTCGAGTTCGGCATCATCAAATATTTTCGAGCGCATGATGTACCGAACTCGGTCTGCCAGGTTTTGTTCCGTGACGGGGATAGACGGCTCCAGCTCAGCAAAAAAAGCAATGCATCCGAGACCTATACGCTATTCCCACAGTTTCTTTCCCTTTCGCCCTATAGTACGCCCGCAATGCGTTTTCGTTCATGGATTTTGTGCAACGCATGCGACGTGCTCCACCAGCGGCGGGTGCCGCTTGCTGGGTCCGAGAAGACCCAGCCGACACCAAGCCTTCTGGTGGGGATGATGGATGCGAGGGGCTGCTAGGTGATCGTGCAGCTCCTCGCGCTCGGCTGGCGGCCCGCATGCTGCCGCGTCCAGCGCCAGCTCCAGACGCGCCCCGGCGACCCCCAGGCAGCGGCCCTATGCGCGTTCCTTTTTGTGTTTCTTCCATCATCCATTTTATGGGCGCCAAATAACGGGAGACGCCCAAGCCCGGCACCGTTTCGTGGTTGGGTCATATGCACAAACGGACCTTTGCATCTACAATTTTGCCTAGGCACGGCGCTCACACCTCTTGGCAGGATGCTGACTGACTGCGCCGACGTCGCAGTTTTGTCACATAACTGTTACGTCAGCGGGCGATGGGGTCGTCACTTCCCTACGCCTAATATATTATTATTATTATTATTATTATCCACTACCCCATATCATCCCGTAGGTGTAAGACGTAAGAGGCGATAGAGTGGAAACAGATCAGGAGATGGGAAACGGATCAGGAGATGGGAAACGGATCAGGAGATGGGAAACAGATAAGGAGATGGGAAACAGATCAGGAGATGGGAAACAGATCAGAAGATGGGAAACAGCGTCTTCCTAGTAACGACTATAAATAAAAAAATTGCGGTTCCCAACTCACTTGCTACCTAAGTGTGGCAACTATGGCAAATATGCCCCCTATGAGTTAATCTATGGGGGAGGCCTATGTTCAGCAATGGACTACAATAGGCTATAAAGGTATACATATAATATATCTGTGCAGACATATTCCTGCCGCCAAAGCTATGCGTGCACCATGCTTACAGATCGATGAATGCAACCAGTCTAAACGGGGACTAGCTATCTGCATAATTTCTTAACAGAAAAACCCAACAACTGATTTTGGCCTGACCCTGGATTCGAACCATTGACCTCATAATCACACTTAGAACTACTCAGACAGTGTTTATTATGTCACAATGAGGTTAAGTCTGAGGAGAAAAAAGGCCTCCTCTTTATTAACCTTCGTCCTTGACTTCGATCTCCTTTATGTAGTTAAAAAAATATATCGAAAATAATGTATACATTGCACTGGCAGGGAAGATTATAACGCGTGTATAGCGGATGTAACAAACTTCTTGATAAGGAATGATTTCGAGCCAATGCTGAGGAAGCGTTTCACCACTTATTTACAGCTAAGCTGGTACACTGATAAGGTATGTCTAAACCTATTTCGTTCCCTAGGTATCTGTGCTAGAAGTGACTTAGAATATTTTTTTAAATAGACCAACAAGCAAACATTTTACATGATGGTAAGTTTGCAACTTTTAATCCTTGGACCGCTGCAACCTGCAAATATAAGCAAGATAGTCCACAGTTATCGCTGAGGATTAATTTGGAATGACTCAGTCTGTAAAAAGCGTGTAATATAAATGCCTTTGCACATCTTGTTACTTACTACTTTGTTAATTAGAAGATATTGCCATGGCGTTGGTTATTTAAAAAATATAATAATAAATGCTAGCTCTTTTAACTTTATAGTATAGTCCTATCATTGAAAATTGCCTGTATTTTCAGCGTAAGAATATCTACTAACCCATATCATCCCATGGGTATCGTAACAGGGGACAGAGGAAAACAAACTTTAGCTTACTTATGTGTATGCTCTAAGGAAGCAAGCACCTACAACAACAATAGTTAGCTGAGACAGCAAGGGGAGTGCCTTGAAACTTAGGAGATACGACAAGGGGGTTCTTTCTAGCGGTAAACTTGTGGCTTCTGGAGATTGAACTGAACTAGATTTAGTCGCCCCCAATGCGATGTTTTGTACAACAAAGTTTCCAAAATTTAGTTTACATTCATTTTTATATATTGAAGCGGAAGTGCTCTCAGCTTTTTAACTTTTTACCAGGGATACTCGATGACAAACAAAAAGAAATCTATCTATTTCGATTTGCCGCCACACGTGTACCAAGACATAGTGAACAGACAGCGCAGCAAATACATACTCTGTGTACCTTTTATGAAGGTATGTCAATTTTAACTACCCTCTTATTGAACTGCGGTTGCGAACCCGCCTACCAAGCGGAGCAACTGTAGTGAACATCCCTATGTGAAACTATCTATGGGGAGGCTTATGTTCCCGAAAATGGTAACGGTATTATTTACCAAGGGTAAGATGAACTTTAGTAGTTTAAATCATTTCAAAAAAGAAATTTATATATCTTGCTAATAAGTTACAGATCTTCCTAATTAAGGAAGATTAGTAGCCTCCGACAGATGGCGACATAACAATCTCCAAAAGTTCTTAATGATTTCAAGGTTGGGGAATAACTGTCACTACGTCACATGACGTCTCATCTGAAAATAAATACAGTTTAAAATCCCTTTGGCGCCATTGTCAATACAGTATAGATTAACCTCAATAATAAAATATAAAAATTATTTGTACATCTTATCTGATATAAATATTTGTTAGATTTACATACAGTTTCTATGAATTTCTTGAGAAATTTGACCATATTCATTACATTATTTAGGAATTTTTAAGTTCCGCAAATATTCCAGATTGTTGATTCTCGATGACATATCCATACATCATTTACCCGGTACCTGAGCCTTGTTGGTTGACAGGGTGCATCGCAAACAGGTTAGGTTGGCATATGAAGTGGAGATGATCGATGTTATAAAAACTTAAAAAATCGATTTTGGCATCGCTCAAAATTTATACTAGATATATTTACATCGAACAGAAAACATATTTCTTTGCAATTTTTTAATTTATAACTAATAATACACCACAACAATAATTTAAGGATTTGATGGAATGTTTTTTTTTTTATATAGTCAGGGTGACAAACGAACACACATTCCTCCTGATGGTAAGTGGATACTTTCCCCGTAGACATCTAAATCTATCCTCGGTTAAGAATTAAAATGCTGATATGTCGTAACCCCCGAGGACTAATATAGAATTCCTCAATTCCCGTAAAAAGTTTCTCTGATTGTCTACACTCGCCATAAAAAACACAGCAGCGTTGAGCTGCTATTTTACGCTTATATTCTGTGAGGGCGTGGTCCTACCCGCTCGAGCCGATCCATTCGACACACTCAAGAAAATGCTTATTGTAAAAACATATTACAGTTTGAATGAATATTTTAATGATAAATTATAAATCAATTTTTATTATTTGACAATTTTCTTTATTTCTATTTACATATTTGACATTGTTAGTATTTTTCATCAAAATTTTTATACTTTTTTTACATAATATAAATAACTAATGATCAGTTGACAATATTTAATGATATTTAATTTTAAAAACAAATATGTAAATATTATTTAGTCTGACTTTTTATAATATAATTTATATATTGTGTACTATAAATACTACTATAAATACTGTAATTTGAATGAAATGTAAATGAATTCTATATTAATTAAAATTTAAACTCTGTTTTAATATGCTACGCCCGTACAGGGTGTCACATGTTCTGTAAATATATTGTTCCAACTTTATACTTTGTGACATGCAATAAAGAACTATGAATTATGAATTCGTGTAACGTCTTACGAGTTCTTGCACTTCTTCTGTTGGACTTCCAACAATTTCTTCGCGACAACGCGACATTGATTAACTTCATAGGCTGATGATAATATATGATTTGACAGTATCTGAACGAAGTAGACTTAAAGACCGTATCGACAAAGGCGATTGTATTCCACACGTCGCCAAACGAAATACTTTTAAACACCGGCGATATAAGCAATGAGATATATGTTATTAAGCAGGGGATTTGTGAGGTAAGTGTTGTATTTATATAAGTCTTGTACATAAGTGAAACTACTATCTATACAAAGTCCCTGCCATAGAAATTCAAGTTATGAATATGGTACAATCAAATGATAATAAAAAATCCTAGAATATAAATTTTCCATTAGAAACTGTCCTAACCGCGCATTACATCAGTTTAGTTACAAATTTACTTAAAAAAGTCCAACAACTTTTAGTATGTCTTTTGCACCCTTAGCACTAGTTTTTGACACTAACGTTGTTGTAACGTCATTAATTATGGAGATAAAACATGGAACTAAATTGTACTGTGCGTGGTACATAGTATCTCGATGAGATAAAAACAGCGCCTCTGGTTACCATACCATTTATATTAATCTGTATTCTATGGTATCCCTAGAGGTAGAAAATGGAACTATATTTTTTATACCATGTTACTCGTCATACCATACACAAATTTAAAATTCTTAGGAGGCCTGTGCCCTGCAGTGGGCTGAAACCTTACCGTATCTATGTAGTAAATGTGATGCACGCCAATGTGCATGTTTAAACAAATTTGTGCCTTTTGCTTTGGCTAATGGCCTGCTCGTAGAGTCCACGTGCGGTGAAGTACTACAGGAACCGTATCCGCGACTTGTCGTCGACGCTGATGACAAGAAGGCCGGCAATTGTCTCGCTTAAAGGTAATTATAACCATCTAGCGAGGAAACATAGCTAGGTATTTACTGAGTGCATTTGTGAAACTTACTACGCTACGCCAATTAGTCTCTCAGTCCAAGAAATAGGGTAGTTCTTGCGGTTTGGCATTCACCCTACGTTGCTTTTGCCTGCGCCGAGAGGATCTGCATGCGATATGCTTGAGTGTTATAAATAATAATCCTTTAGATGTTGTAGTCTGTGCATCTATGTGTGAGCTTAGTAAAAATAAAATTAACTTGCTGTATACACAGCCAGTTCTTGGCACAATACCGATAATTTTGGTTTTAGTTTTGTTTATTTTTTATTATTGTTATAACAAATAAATATTGAATATTATTATACTAAGTAAACAAATAAAGTATTTAAAAAAGTTATGAGATTTCCGAAGTTAATGGTCACATATGTAAGACTACTAACAAATGTTGGGTGTGTTTTATTTTTTTGTTAATTATGAATTGAGAAATTGTGATTATGTTTGTGCATACTTTCCTTTTATATTATCGAATTTGAAGAGGTGAGGATGAAATCCTTGACTTTTAACGAAAACAGAATTATTTTCAGGTATTAAATCCAGAAACTAAAGAGGTTGTCAATGAACTAAGGGCGAGGAATACTTTCGGGGTGCTCGAGTGTATGTTACGTAAGTTGTAAAAATCAATTTACTATTAAAATTATTAATTGAACTGAGTGTAATACATGTTAATTTTGCCTATTTTCTGTATTTTCTGTACACGTGTTTACGTTGTATTTTTGGTAATTTTTTTCATATTTACCTTATTAAGTATCACAAAATCTATTTCTTCTAATCTATTAATCTATTTTCGCACCCCTTATATTGTGTTTAATAGGCTTTAGCATTTCTATTATAATCAATGTGATATAAGTGATAAAACTACCAAAAATAAAACGGGGGATCGTGCAGTTTTAAATTAGACAATCTCTACTATTGTAGAACCGATGGTAAGTGGATGTTGTGGCCCAGAGACATCTACTTTCATCCTCGATTAAGAATGAAAATACAGATACGTTGTCTCTCATGAGGACTAAGATGGAATGCCCCGTTTCCAGTAAAAACGGTCTCCGAAATACCGGAGATTCTTTTACTGGAAAAGAGGCATCCCTTCTTAGTCCACACGGGTGACAACGCATCTGCCTTTTGATTCGTGATCGAGGATTGATGTAGATGTCCATGAGCTGCAGCAACCACTTACCATCAGGTGGACTGTGTGCTCGTGTGTCATCATTAACCTATAAAAAAACGTCAGTTCATACGTGAAGAAGGCTGCAAGTGTAAGTATGTTCGTCTGACACTACATTTTTATTAAAAAAAAAGAAAGTTAAAAAAACCATTAGTCACTATTCAGGTAATTTATATAGATATAACGATTCAAACTACTTTTACGGATTTTATCGCGTTTATTTACGTTTCCATGGTTTTATTACCTATGGTCACTGGAAACGTCGGGTATTAAAATAACATAAATAAACGCGATAAAATCCGTAAAAATAATTTGAATCAATGTATAGTGTTTGCGTAAATATAAGAAATCATTAGATATAACGAATTATTTATTTATCCTTTAATGTAATTACCTATACAAAAAAGTGTACAAAGTGCCTTAAGGCATTCTCTCCCAGTCGACCTTGGGCATAGTGAGTTAACGTTGATAGGTGCATCATAATTAAATTTTATTATAAAAATGACTAACAAACTTACAGTCCACTTAACGGTAAATGGATACTGTAGGCCGTGGATATATGCAACCAAAGAAAGCTAGTCTTATCGTCTCTGTGAATAAAATGCAATGCCTTATAGCCTGTAATTAAAATCAAGCTCTGGCTTATATAAATATAAAATGTACTGGTTTTCTATACCCTTCCGGCCTGAAACACGGCAGTGCACTCACTTCTGTTTGGCGTGACGGCAAAATTAGGTTAGAGGGTGGTATTTACCCACACGGACGCCAAGCACAGAATTTATTTATAACTGGTTTTACGGCTCCGGGTTCTAGCCCTTCTGAGCCTGAAGTTGCAAAGAATATTATATAATAGTGTTATCGCGCAGCTCCTCGCGCTGCCGTGATTTTGCCCTCTCTGCCCACACACTGCAATTAATGCCCACTCGCGCAATTAATCACGACGTTCCGCACTGAGTCATTGACGTTTGCAACACAATGGATGTTGAAACTGTGGCAGCGTGCGTGCTGTGCATATTTATTATCGCTAATTATATCAATTTCATAATAAAAAAATATACGTTGTCGTCGCTTCGTCGAGATAGCATTTCTCTGTATATTCTTTACTCATGTAATAATATGGCTTAATGATGATGATAGGTGTACTATTTATGATTTAAAATGACATGTGACGTACTTCCGTAACGAGCGCTCGATTCGGACTGTGTTTGCGCGAGTATGTGGCCAGCCACTCGCGCTCGTATTGCCAGCCCTTTGACTGAGGGTTATACGTAGTCCAAGGCAGAAAGGGCGTCCTATCATCAAGATCGTTTTAAACGTAGTGGAGTCACGCTGCAGCAATATTATGGTTGTAGCACGAATGGGTCGGCTCGACCGGGGAAGGACGCTCTCACAGAATACCAGCGTAAAATAGCAGCTTAATACTGCTGTGTTTCGTATGGTGAGTGTATAGATCCGGAGACCCTTTTGTACTGGAAACGAGGCATTCCATCTTAGTCCCCAGTGGTAACAAAGCGTTTACGTTTTGATTCTTCAACGAGGATAAATTTAGATGTCTATGGGCCATAGCATCCACTTACCATCAAGTGGAATGTGCTCGTTTGTCACCCTTATTCTATAAAAAGAACCTTAAACTATCGTATTTATATGTACAGTATATAAAATATATCATTTAAACCAGCACGTTTCCCTTATAAGGTCTGCCAGCTTTCTACACAATACGGGCAGCGACCCATGTGCAAATTTTCTCTATATCACGTAAATATTTACTGCACGCCATAGAAATACCGCAGATCAAGGATGCCATTGAATTTGCCAAGGAACAGCCGGTGAGTTGATAAAATGTTTTTCAAGTATATAAATACCATTTTATAAGACTAATTCTTCCTTGTCAGTCCATTAGCAGTCTAAGTTATAACATTTTCGTTACTTGTTTTTGTATTCTCTGTGTGTCTTATTATAAATTTAAATTATTACGAGCACATAAGTTAAAACTTATGTGCTCGTTTAACATAACATAACGTTTAACATAAGTTATTTGTGAATGAAAACATGTATAAAAATATATTTGATATTGAAGTGTAAATCTCATGTGTCCATTGTGGGTGTAGTAGGTTGTATTTTTTAAGAATAAGGATTCCGACCTCAGCTGTTGACAAGTGATTTGCCTATAGACATCTAATCTATCCTATATTGATCGCGACTTCCATGACTTTTTCTATAATAAAAAGGTTTGCTGTAATCTTTTAGCAATTACAGAGCCGAAAGCTTCTTACATTTGACACGCCAGCGTTACTAATATTGCGCGCCTAAGTTGATGACTGGTACCTGGCACTAGCGCCATCTAGTGTCGGGGAACAGAGCGAGGAGGGCTTTCTAGAAAATTCCATTCCTGAACTTTCCACCAACAGCACCATCTAGTATTGAATGGAAGAACTCAGCTTTCTAGAAAGCTCCACACTCGAACTTATTGCACCTGGTCGGTCGGAGGCCGGTATTTGCTGGAATATTCTGGATGTTTCGGTGGAATAGGCCTATTTAAAGCCGTTCAAATCCGCGATCGAGGCAGTATTGAATTGGCGATACGAGCGAAGCTTTCTAAGCGAAATAAAGTGAACTAAAGTGTTAAATGTGATTAATTATTAGTGTGATTTAAGTTTCAATTGGTGTTCAGTAATTAAATTGCCAATTTTGGTAATTCAATGGACAGTTTTTATTTTCACGAACCCTAAGCACGTAACACTAATTAGGATATTTCTAATGGTCGCCACAAACGGTCAGTTTAACTATTCATTTCAACAGATCAGTTCAAACTAAAACTATTAATATGTTTTAAAATATCAAATTGTCGATATATCGGAAAATAAACTTATATGTAAAACGCCGATATTAATATATTTATAGTGATCGGTATATCGAAAATCCACTATTTAAAAAAATATCAACAGTTTTAGTTTCAACTGATCAGTTGGAATGTTCAGTTGAACTGACCGTGTGTGGTGACCATAATAGTCGTAAGTGTCGGCCGAGGTATAAACGAATACCAAGTTATTTAAAAACTTCCTACTTGAAACGAGCAAAAATATTTAGATCACGTATCATTTGCTAAATTACCTTTTGTGCCCTAGACTCAAGCCGATTTGATGTCCTTCCTCCTTCATCAACCTTTTTTGTATCAGCAATCAAAAAAGAAAAAAAAATAATAATACATGTATTTATAGCACACACAAATCGCAATTGGTCTTGGAATATATTGTTTAAATATTACTAACGAGCCGCTTCAGCTTCGCATAGGTGATTTCTGGATATCTGAAAAAAGAGTATATATATATATATAATAGATAAGTTGGTACTTGAGTACAATCCCAATTGATGGTAAGTGATGTAGCCATGTAGCCATGTAGGCGTAGTGTAGGGCGACCCCCCACTAGATGGAGTGACGACCTGGTAAGATATGCAGGAAGTCGATGGATGCAGGTGGCTCAGGACCGTGCTTTGTGGCATTACTTGGGGGAGGCCTATGTTCAGCAGTGGACTTGTGAAGGGCTGTGATGATGATGATGATGATGATGATGATGTAGCCAATGGTGGAAAAGCACACTGACATACCTTAACGAAAGTCTATTCACTTTTGCCTGTTAAAGAGACGGCTAAGTCTTAATCCGCTAGATAAATCTAAATCGTGCAATAAAGAGAGTTATAGACGTTACGATTATGTTACGTTTATTCAAAAAACAAATGGTTACTCTTTCTTTTTATTTAAAAAGAAATAAGTGACTAATAGAGAATTAAGATTTAACAACAATAAATAATAACTTTTTGGGTACTTTTTCGTTCAATTCGAAACAAATACGATTTTTATGGTAAACTCAAAATGACTATTATCATTTGTTATTAAAATATGTTGATTAAAGGCTTCTTATCCGGCAGGTAAAAGTCTGGTCTGTGATAATATGCACCGATAATTACTGTGATAGACCAAAGTTGATTGCATACTGACTTTGGTATAATGAGACAAATCAGAAAAACAAATCCATTGAGTAGACTTACTAGGTTTCTTATTCAAGAATGGAGTAGACGAGAAAAATAAATAATAAAATAAAAATGTTATTTTTTAATTTCGAAGGAATACAGTCGCTTGCAAGTACGCAGCCAGCCATTTTTGTCGTACCGGCCGCCTGATCCAATACCCAACGTAGAACGCTTCCGCCTGCCGAGGAAGCACGAGCCAGATTACGCTTTTTTACACCCGTTCCATCGGCTCGGCTTTTTATCTGTATTGAGGTAAGGTTAATTTCCAAATTAATTTACTTCTACTTCTACTAATAATAAAGCCCTATACAAATCCACTGCTGAATTGGCTATTTTTTAAGGTAAATCATGGCCATCCACCACTGTGGATTTTACTAGGAGTTTTCTTCCTCGTACAGCCTCTCTGTGAAAATGTTTACTACTCGTAATTTTTCCGGATCGATATGACTTAGGGACCTTTAATAAAAGGGCTTACACCTTTCTAAAAGCTCGACAAGGCACCTGCAATTCCCCTGGTGTTGCAGCTGTTCGTCTGCATGCTCGTTTGCCTCCTCCTCAATAAAGAAGTGTAAAGAAGAATAACTGATTTTGTCATAGATTTAGTATAAACTGTATCAATTTCGTAATTATAAATCTGGAAATTTTAAAATGGAAATTATATTTGCATTTTATACAGAATTTAAAGTATGTTATTCATAAATAATTTCTCGGGAATTGCGGTAGACAAAAGTAATAAATAATCGATTACGTTTTATTACAAATAATTAGTTGAGGACGTAACTAAGGAATAGTTTGTAATATACGCCGCGTAATGGCGGTAAAGGGTTGTATGAGGCGACAGAGAGCAACTGAAACAGTAGACGGGCAGCAACGTCCTCTTGATAACACAATAATAATAAAAACACTGCATCTGATAACTCATTACGATAATCTATGAGTAAGCTCCATCTTCAGCAGTGGAGTTGTGTTTTGGCCGTAATGGATGGATGAATGAGAAAAGGGAACCGCAATTTTATATGCTAACTAACCATGAGCTCCGCGAAAGCAGCTGATGAATGTATACAAAACAATGACTCAGTGCTGTATTCTCTAATTTTTATAAACATTTTTAACTTTTTAATTTCCCGATTTTAATTCGCACGGCCGGTGTATAAAGCATCACCAGTGTTGTCGTCTGCATAGCAATGAATGCTACCGATTTGCAACATGTCAATGATATGCAGAAGAAACAGCGTTGGTGATAGCATGCAGCCTTGTGGAACACCAGCGTTAGTGGCCTTGTAATCGGAGTATGCGCCGTCTACTACGACCTTGATAGCATAATTTTGTTTAATTAAAGTTAAAAAAAGTTAAATTAATTAATAATCATTGCTACGAAAAGCACTGATGTAAACTTTCTGAACGAACTTGGTAGTATTAGAAAGGATTTTACCTTCGATTTTCAGTACTGTTTCAACCGATTTGGTCCGGTAGATTTTAAGAAATCTCATAAATAAAATTAAAAGAAAATGTTTTTTTAATAACTTTTAATCAGACGTAATGATCAATTCCAAAATCTAATCAGCTCTTATACATGAAAAACGAGTTCGTTGCTGCGAACCGCTTCAATATCGGTTAATGCGTTGAATAAAAATTTATGACGAAAGATTACGAAAAAAGTGTTTGTACAATGTACACATAACATTTGAATTTATAGTGTAATCGTTCTTTTTATAATAAACTTTATTAACATGAAAATCGGTTGATCCGTCTACGGACGGATCAACCGATTTTCATAACTTCGAAATTTTACAGTTATCGTTGTCATAACTTCGAAATTTCTGCTCAAATTGTTTTTAATGTAATGCGTTAACTGTTATTTCGTAAAAATATTTGTGGAGCGTTTTGAGATCGAACATAGCGGGAATTTTCTGGTATGGACTGCATGGTCAACCAATTTTTTTTTAATACTTCTACTTTTAGAAACATCCGTCGTAAAATTTAACTAATATATCATAAAGAAACATTAATCTCTATACCTTCCAAAGAAATTATTTTCCCCCGCTAATGCATCTGTCTAATATTTCACCCCATTCCTAAATGGCGCCGCCCTAGTGGTGGTCGTGGATTTTTTGCATTGCTTCAAAACCTTTTCAGAAATGAAAGGAGCCTTTTGTCCAGCGGTGGAATATATTCATTTTTACTACCGTTACCGTTGCAGCGTATTAAAGTCCACTTTTGAACATAGGCCCCCACCTTGGATTGCTTCATATGAATTAAACTACCGATTGAATTACCAAAATTGACACATTATTTACAAAACACCAATTATAACTTATATATTACATATGTATATATATATATATATGTGTGTTAATAAAACACAATTGTAATACTGATCACTTTAGTTCGCAGTTGTATTGCTTCGAAGTATTCGCTTGTATTGCCAATTCAATACTCACTTGGGTCGCGGTCTATACTGTCCTTATATAGGGCCTTTTCTACTGAAATATATCGAGTGTTCGAGTACATACCGGTCTCGATTGACTAGGTGTAGAAGGATCTCGATTCTCCTAGTTCTGCTACTCGATACTAGAGGGCGCTAGAGGAATCTAATATCACCATGTACCAGACATTAATTATGGTGCGCAGCATTACCATAGTTACCATGCTTTGCAAACGATACTCATTATAAGGAAGACACTGCTGTCTATCTCCTAATTTATTTCCCTTTGTCGCCTCTTACAACATGATATGGGGTACACGGCATGATATAGGGTAGTGGATATTCTTACACCGAAATTACACGGTATAGGCTGTAATTTTTATTAACTATAATAGTATCATTGTCGCTCAGGTATATATTCCCGCGGTTCACGATCCGTCCGGATGGCGAGTATCTGATGCGGACAGAGTGGGTGCGCGCGGGCTGCGCACTGCTTTCTGCGCTCCTGTTCCCCAGCTACACGTACCTGGAGCTGCACGCCAATTGGCTCTACTATTTTGGGATCCTACTCGACGCGGCCGCGTACTTCGACATGTAAGTTTATGTTAATCATCATTCTCTTGGGTTTTGACGGGAACTTGATGCTAGTGGAAACGAGGAGTGACTGCTATCGTCATCGACTGTCTGCTGGCTCAAGCTACCGTCAAAATCTCCCAAAACCTTCACAACACGACGCATCAACTTATTGTGAAGAATTTTTTAAACAAATTATTATATAGAATTATTTCTTAATATTCTTGACACTGGCAAAAGTACAACATTACGAGTCCATTGCCGAAGAAAAAAATCATCAAACACAACACAGAGTAATTACGTAAGATGCGTAGAGAGAATCTACTATTTTACATAAATTGAGCCAATATACTTGCCGCATTTTTTGTACTTTAATTTTCAAATAAGGAAAAAGAGACAACTCTTTTAAAAGTGTTGCGTGTAATTCATGCGTGTTAATAGAAATGTCATGTGGTCCTCTTTGGTCTCATTATACTATGCCAAGTATGAGAGTGAGTACACTCGTATCTTCTGATTTACTAAAAAAAATGACATTCTTTTTGTAGTAGTATTATATGTGACTATATTCTACAAGAGACGTTTTTAATCTAGTGATTTTGTTCGCAAAGTTAGCGACAATCGACACCGATATATTCGTTTCTGTTAATTTATTTATTACTTTATTATATGTATAAAAATATAAATCAAATGGGACTAGGCTTATTATTATTTAATATTTTTCTAAATCAAATGATGATTGTTATTATCGCAAATTTTAAAAACTAATAGGTATGAATAATAAGTCTTGACAGACACGGTACATAAGCGAGTTGCATCCCAACTGTAATCCCAATTTTATATGCTGACCGACGATCCGCCCCGGCCTCGCACGACTGTTTTCTAGATCTCGACAACAGCGTCACTTTCCGTTATTTGTAAATTGTGAGTGTAATGTAATGTGTTCATCCGTTCCCAAGTGATGATCTTTCATACATGCGGCAATTGATTTTTATTTATATAGATCTACCACTTGCTTAGCGGAAAATAAAACCGTCGACTATATTCAACAAAGCTTTATTCGCTTGGATGAAAATATTTTTAATTCATGAAGTTGAAGCAGGATATTTAGTCTAAAGATAATTAGGCGGAAATATGAATTTTTCACGATATATTCCGGCTTTTCATGATATATTTTTAATTATACAATAAAACGAAATTCCACTTGATTCGACTACGTTTATGTTGTAAGTTCATTGTCATCATTGATATAAATAAGTATTACCTACTGTATAATAAAACTCTTTAATTTTACTATCATAGACTAAATTAATTTAACGACCGCGATTTTTTCTCTAATGGCAAATCAATAGAGTAACCTTGTACTAGAAAGAAGATGAAAAAATATAGCTATCTTAAAATAAAAAAAACGACTCACATTTTTAACTCTATTATACAGTGGGTCTATTACACTACATCTGATTTTGTTAATATTTTTAGTTAAAATACTCAAAATTCAAAATTTAATAGTAATTTGAAGGTGATTTATTTTATTTCAAAATTATATACGTTCGTATGTAAGATTTTAGAGATAGGTACCTAGATTTGTGATGTAATGTAATTTCTCGAAAGGTACTTATTTTATTCGGTGTAGTTCCACGTACTTTTAACATCTTAACGTATGTTTACCGACCTTCTAACCCCAAGGCCCATGTAAGATACGAAAATCATGATGAATTATGAAAATCAAAAGATTCAATAAATGAATTATATAGAGTACAACGTATGCTGGTGGGATACTACAATGAGAAAGGCATCTTGGTGTACCACCCGGCTAGCACCGCCGGCCACTACCTCAGAGGCGCCTTCCTCGTTGATCTCTTCGCTTGCCTGCCGTTAGAAAACCTCGATACGTATATGTGGGAAGTGTATGGTAAAATATTATCTGTGTCTCTATTTTCATTTCATTAGATGTCGAAATAACTTTTTTTTTGGTATTCTATACTATACATATTATTTATGTGGTAGAGCCAGGCCGCAGTTATGTTAGAAGTATAGTAGTATGTTAGAAGTATAGCAGCACAATGCTGCTGTGTTTGGTATGGTGAGTGTAGAGAACCGGAGATAATTTTTATTGGAAACGAGACATTCCGTCTTAGTCCTCACGGGTGACAACGCATCTGCATTTTGATTAGTAATCAACGATAGATGTACTTAGATGTCTATGAGTCACAGCAATCACTTACGTGTCCACAGGCTTCTCGCTATTACTTAACGACCTTCCATCTTCTAAGAAGTCGAACTCGTTCTCTATTGCTATCACGAGGGAGTAAATGTACGCGCTCGCTCCACCTACCGTCTCTGGATCTTATGGCGTGTCCCACCCATTTCTATTTAAGCTTCACTATCTGAATGTCTGATGAATGAATGTAATGTTTTTATGACCCTTATCCTATAAAAATACAAGCAAAATTTATATATTAGCTACGGTTACACCCTATCAAAAGCAACGGCTGGAAATAGACCTCCTTTATAGATTGCCTTATGGGGGAATTACCGCGCTTGGCAAGCGGGTTGGTGACCGCAGTTTTTTATATTTTTAGTTGTTATTAGGAAGACGTTGCTGCCCATTTCCAGGTGCCTCTGTAGTCTCTATCGACACTGATATAAAGAAGTGGATATTCTTACACTGCCACTAGACGGTGTACGATATATATTCTTAGTTAATTTCGAAGAAATTTACATTATAAAGGGGCATAATATCGGTCTAGCTAGTTCTCATTTCATGGGAATTTTGTTTTCTCCATGATTGATAATTTCGCCATAGATATTATATTCCCAACACAATGGCAAATACAGAAGTCTACCACGTAGGAGTGCGGTAAAAAGAGATGTTAATTTAACTGTTGTTCGATTCGTGTTTTGTTTAGTGTAATTTTTCGATGTAATTTTTGCTGCTAGCCAGACGTCTTTCACGGCCGGAAGGTTTAAAATATTCGTATATCTACGTTACTTGTATGTTATGTAATGTATTAAGTCAATGCTTTTTTGTTGTTTCCAATCTCTTGTATAATTTTTATAAATTATGAACGCACGAAGGTAACAGTGAATGGCAACGTCTGTCAGTGATGGGGCCGTTGCTCATGCTGAACCGTCTGGTGCAGCTCTACCGGCTGCCGGCCGCCATACAAGGCCTCGACCGATACTTGCGCCGCGACATCGTGCTTGTGTACGTTACCACCCATACCTTTAAGTTATAAGCTTGTTTCATTTTTTTTGTACAATTTTAAGCCAGTGACTCACTACTAACCCAGCTGATGGTTAGTGGTGATGCAGCTGAAGATTGTGAAGCGCATTAACTTATCCAGAGCCTATTCACTCTTGTCTGGAAAACAACCACATTGTAATCGGATAAAAAGGTAGATGCTGGCAACTTATTCCACTACTTTGCTGTACGCATTACGAACGATGCAGCGAACAGTATGGTACGAATGCGTGGTAAGTCGATAACGAAAGGGTGGAGCCTGACTGAGCGTTGGTTGTCCGATGGTGTACGGGAGAGATAGAAATTAAGTTATGCAATGCTATATTTGCCATAAGACCCTGCAAGTCTACTTTTTTATCGTCATTGTCATTGTCTTTCTTTTCTTTTTTCTCTTTATCGGCCAGTTAAAGTCCACTGCTGAAATTACGTCTCTCCCATTGTTAGAAAGAAACTCCTTAATCTCTATATTGGCTAGTTGACAGGTGGTTTGACGATTTCAGTGACAGATGTCTTGAATCTGACTATTTTATGTTTTTCGTAAGCGAGGCGGTTATATCGCAAACTATCGGAAGCTATAAGATTTTAAACGTAATTGTCAGGCCCTTCACATGTACTATTGGATTTTATAGGAGGCGGGAGGGGGGGGGGGCAAATGAGCATACGGCTCATCTGATGGTAAGATTACCGCCGCCAATGAATAACTGCAACACCAGGGAATGACAGATGCGTTGCCGGCCTTTTAAAAAGGAGTAGGTTCTTTTCTTGAAGGTCCCTAAGTCGTATTTCGAGATTCTGGAATGGATTTACCATTCAAGAATACACAATTAGATGAGATCGAACGAAAAGACCACGCTCTTACAGAATAGCAGCGTAAAATAGCAGCTTGACACTGTTGTGGATGGCTCGGTTTAATCGATGCATTCCATTTTCGTACTTAGAGGTGACAACGGAATTGTATTTTGATTCGAAATCGAGGATAGATGTAGATGTCTATGGGCCACAGGATCCACTTACCATCATGTGGACTGTGTGCTCGTTTGCGAGGTTGGCAACTGCACTTACTCACAGAATACCAGCGTAAAATAGCAGCTTAATGCTGCTGCGTTTCGTATGATGAGTGTAGAGGATCGGAGACCCGTTTTACTGGAATTGAGGCATTCCATCTTAGTCCTCAGGGGTGACAACGCATGTGCAAGTTGTTTTTATAGAATCAGGGTGATCAATTGTCATTAGAATAACGCTGCTGCCTATCTCCTGGTTTGATGCCCTATTTTACCTATAATGGCACTCACGGGACTATATGGGTTTGTCGATATTCTTACACGGCCACTCGTAGAGCCATAAACAAGCGAAGGCTCAAATTAATGATTACACGAAAAATCGGTAAAAATAATCGAGTAATCAAACCTTTAGATAAGTAATGGTTGATGATGGTAAGTGGTGATTCATCCGAAGATAGAATAGCGTACTACTCATTTATTTGAGCTCTAATTTACTTTTTCATCATTGTATTACAGTATCAAAGCGACTCCATATTTTTTGACTCTACTGAACGTGATGACGTGTTTCGTGGTTCTCTTCTCTGCGGAAATTTATTCCACGCCCGACAATAAGGTCATAATAGTGCCGGGTGAGGACGATGGCGGCTCCTGGATTGATTTGTTCCAAAAACACTGTTAGTTCGTTTTCATTATGTTCATGGCCACATCATTTTATGTTGGAATAAAACTTCTTGAGGCAGGACTAGAGGGCAGCTCAGAACTTTTTTGAACGGAAGTAATGTTGAACAAAATCAATAGTCCATTGACGCAGTTTCCATATTTCCAACCGACTTCAAAAAAGGAAGAAGTTCTCAATTTGACTGTCTTTTTTATGTGTGTTACCTCAAAACTTTTTCCTAGGTGAACCTATTTTGATGATTTTTTTATTTGAAAGCTGGTGGCTTCTAATGTGGTCCCATAAAAGTGAATCAAGATGTGATGAGTAGTTTTTGAGTTATCTTTAACGATGCGTATTTAAATAACTTCGACTACATTGATGATGTTCTCATTTTATTTACTTTGAAGTCGGTTGTACAATTTTTTTTAATTTTGTCACTTGTTAAAGATAACGACTGACTAGAATTTCGTGAGCAGATATATGTGTTTTATATAAAATATACAATTTCTAGATATAATGCAGTAATGCCAATTCACCTGCTCATGCGAAGCAAACTTTTACAGGTTGTTTATGATAGTGATAATGATGGTGATAATAATGATAACGACAATGATGGTGATAATGTTTTTGATAATGATGGTGATCATACTAGTTATAATGATGCCTATGATGATGATAATGAGTGTCAATGCTAGTCATAGGTATGGTGATAATGATGGTGATAACTGATAATGATGGTGATAACTGATAATGATGCTGATAACTGATATTGATGGTGAATGAATGAAATGCAATTATACTTAAAATTTATTTCTATCTTATTACTATATAGTTCAATACTAAGAGTTACCAATTCATGATTTGTTAATAAATATTTCAGTATAAATATTTAAATAATTTCATAATTTTTAAGTAACAAAAATATAGAACTTAAAAAATATATTAATATTAATCAATATTTATAAGTTTCACTCTAACCGTGTGTGAAGGTTACACACATTAACTTATTTAATTCTTTACTTTTTGCTTATCTCTGCTCAATTTAATGGTCGGCCACTCAAAAAGTTTTGCGAAACTAAGAAATAAACTTCTTCTTATTAATAAATCTTTTTAAACAATTATCTACCAACATCTATACAAAATTTCGTGCGTCTTAAACTATTTTTGCGAAACATTTTCCAATCTGCTACAGACACTACTTTGAAGACCTACCTCAAACGCTACTAGCGCATCTTCCGGCATTGAACTGTTTAAATAAAACTAGTTTTTACTGCTTTTTTTCCGCCTATATTACGGCGTCCCAATGTCATAATTAACCACGGCTGCCTCCAGATTAAAATTATCGGATCGGAAAAAAAATTTATCTGGAGGTAGCCGTGGTTAACTATAACATTGGGACGTCGATCACCTCATCCCCCTCGTGGGTGCTGTAAAGTACTAGAAACGTCGGGAATATTAAATAAGTTAATATAAGTACACGATGAAATCCGTAAAAACTAGTTTTATTTAAATGTGTAGTGTTCGCGTAAATATAAGAAATCTTTATGTTGAAAAGTATTCCTCTTTCTGCGAAATCCTCTTTCTGGGTCACCAAAGCGTAACCGCTATACTGTTCAAGAAGTGGTGTCGTTTGACGCTGAGTGCGCAGGTACGTTGTCGTAGTGAAGCAACAGACTGCGTAACTCCGTTTTCAGTCGCTTGTGACTCACAGCAGTGAAGTCAGTGAACACTTCTGGCAAGCATTTAGCAGTATACCTATCGACATTAATGTTACTTTAATTTCGTAAAGGAATTTACACCAGACACCCCTTAAAGTGAAAAAAAAAATAGTGATCCAAACCATTCCTGCGCTTCTCGATCGTTTCCTTTTGATGCTAGTATGGTCACCGGTCGCTAGATAACGGTTGCCAGGTCATGCCATGTTTTTACTTTCTATTTTGTTGCTGGCTTACTAAGCATCTTTGACGTCATTTCATGATCATCAACAAAACCCTCATTGAAAACCGCTTACTACGATAACATGGTAGTGGTAGTTAGATACCAGTTAACAAGTTATCCCTGTTTTTTTATTTTTATTTCGTAGCTAGTATTCTAAGCATAACTGAAGTTATTTCCGACAATATATAATAGCAACAAAATCTAAGACACATCTAGCCATTACAAACCATTGAAGTAACAGGTACTACGTACTGTACTGTACGTACATATGATACTTCAATGTTAAAAAAAGCTAGTGCAACGGTAAGTTTGAACAGTAGTAGTTAGCTAACGGTTTCATGGCCCGGTCAATTCTTAGATTTTAATACTCTATGTCACACCTTTTGCAGTAACAAATTAGCAAAAAAATTTATCTTTTCTAGTATAGGTATAATAATGATTTTGCTTAGAATATCTTTATATCAAGCTGACTGTAACTTGTTTTATAGAACAGATTTGACTGATGACTTTTTTATAGAACCGATTTGATCTACAAAATCGATTCTTTAGAAATTAATTAACAACTATTTAGCAACTTTTTCTATTACCTTTTTACTGCTAGCATATAGAGAAGAGAAAGAGCTAGCTTTTTCACAAATTTACATTTTACATTGAAATAAGATATTCCAATTTAGCTCTTTTATGACTTAGATGCTAAAAAAGACATGAAATCTTACAAGTTTTAAAACTGACAAACACATTACATTTGTTTATTACAGTTATTTCCACAGAGTTATATCCTAGGGAATTTTACAATAAGAGAAACACGACTAACGTGGAAACTTTATTTATTTTGCAAAAGAGGGCATTTGATTTAAATGTAAAAAGTTTTTTAAGCCTCTAAGAAAAATGTTAAACGAAGCGTCATTAGAATGTACCTATATAACGAAGCGTCCTTTAGACTTATAAACTTTTTATAGCGAAACCCTTGTTATGATGTCGACAGTTGCATGTTTTCCAGTAGCGTCTTGTTGGGTACTTTGGGTATGTAAGTGTTGTATGTAGTGGCGTATATGGAATATAGTAATATCTGGTTAAATTTTGATAGGTATAGAATATGCGTATGTAGGTGAAAAATTGGTGCTCTTCAAATTAAAGAATATACATAACTTTATTTTTGCAAGTGGGTCTTATCACAACTTTATTATCTTAAATAAAATTAATATTTACGCATGCACCTTAACGCTCCAGGAAATCTCACGCTCTCTTTTAACTATCTTAAGAATTAAGGCTCATAACTAATTATTTCCTTATCTAGTTCGCTTCAGCTTAACCGAAAACACATGGAATCTTCACCTGGCCTGCTATTTCTGGGTGGTGTACGAGACCACTACTACGGGCTACAACACGATGAACCCCACCAACTTCAACATTATGAAGATTTTTTTTATCGGAATGGCAGTCGGTATCTACAGTGAATTTTTTTAATGTTTAAATAATCTCATTCACAAATTGCACGAGGAACCCACTAGCTCGACTGAACGTTAAGGGATCCTTTGAAATCCCTACTAGCACGATGGCAGCCACTATACCTATTTCCTAAGTCTTGTCTTAACCTGTTGTAGCATATGGTGCTCGCGCTGAACTAGCGATTTTCAAAACTGCTGTAACGTTGCGAGCTAATGAAGTAGTTACATCTTTTTATAGGCTCGTTCAGGGAAGGACTACGTATGTAGAGTGTACAGAACTAGAGACCCCTTTTACTGAAAACGAGGCATTCCATCTTAGACCTCACGTGTGACAATGCATCTGCATTTTGATTGGCAGTCGAAAATTGATGTAGACGTCTATGGGTCACAGCAAATACTTACCATCAGGTGGACTGTGTGCTCGTTTGTAATACTTATTCTATAAAAAAATATAACATTATAATGTTATATTTATTACATTTTTAAGAAACTGTATTAAAACTTTAAACTATTATTGAAAATTAGCCCAAAACCCGAACAATTCCATTGATTACAGCCTATATATTGCCTCGGGAGTTGTTTAGTTGCCACGCTCGGAAGAAAACCGCAGTCTTTTTTATTATTTTCAGTTGGCAGGAAGATGTTTCTAGCTTTCTTCTGCTTTAGTTTCCTCCGTCGCCTCTTACGACATCCACAGAACGATATGGTAGCCTACATCTAAAAAAAAACCTTTTGTAGAAATAAATTCCTCATCCTCAATCCTCGCAAACTAGTTTGTAATCTCTGTTTCCAGTGTTTTGAGAAGGAATGATGTTATTGTCCCCAAACACATCCCACATGCTTTAATTGTTTATGATTTTAGTTACTTCATTGTATAATTAATGCAATCAAAAACATAACTTGTAAAAAAAAACAAGTCTCGCAACTCAGTTCTTCTACCGTAAAAAGTTGTGAGATCCATGTAATACCAAGTCGGTTAATTTATTCAGTCTCTACTTAAGGGTCCTTCTGTTTTAAGTTATTACGTAATTAGCTAACCTAACAACGTTTTATAGTGAGCATATCAATGCTAAAAATCTTTTACGTTTCAAATGAATAGATTGACTTGGCCATCGCAAGAAAATACAATGTATCTCACAAGTAATACATACATATATTAAATTAAATTGCCTAGTGCGATTGCCAAGTCAATCTATATATTTAAAACATATAAGATTTTTAACAATTATATGGTCACTATAAAATGTTGTTGGGTTAGCTTATTACGTACATGGATCTCACAACTTTTTACGGTAGAAGAACTGAGTTGCGAGACTTGGTTTTTTTACAAGTTATGTTTTTGATGGCATCTCATTTCTTTTTGTAGATAAGATAGTCCTACTTTTTTTCCTTTCCGGTACCTTCTACTTCTTGAAACCAAAAACGTACCTATCTACACCTATATACAATTACACTGATTCATTGCAAATGTAACTTTGTAATTCTATATATTTATATGGGATTACAAAGTTATTTGTGCAGTTACTGTATCTAGAAAACTGGACCGAAATTAAAAAATATTTTAGTTTTTCCTTAATGTATATACTAAACAATAGTTGTATTCTAAATTTGAAGCTTCTATGTCTGCTACAAGTGCCTTAGAGTTTTGATGATCGGTCAGTCAGTGAGTGACAAAATTAGGAAACTTTGACTAGTTATACTTCTTAAACTACTTGTTGAAATAGAATGAAGTTTGAAATATATCATGTTTATAAAATTTATACTCGATTACTGAAAACTCAGGCTTCTAGTTTTATCCACTACAAAATTATAGGGGTTCGAAAATGGCCTGAATTACTTCGAGAAAAGTATGGTACGGCCGTGCCGCTTTTTTGCTCGACTTGGCAGCAGATACCTTGCTTAGTTTATCTTTAATATTGATTCTGTATTTTTTTTAAACAAAAATCGATTTTCTATCGTTAGTAAATATGTTTTAGGTACATTGCTAACTACTTACTTTTCGGTTCGTATCATCAGTATACGTTCCAACGTGAACAAACCTTTAGCTGCATTTCAACAACATATTAAGGACTTGGCTGCGTTTATGCGAAGAGAACACTTAAGTCCGAAGCTACAAAGGTGACGTGTAAATAATTATGCCAAAAATCGTTTTTTAATCATAACACGCTCAAAATATAAAGATATAGCGACCAGTCTATCCGTACAGAACACAGAACTCAATAAAATATATAACGAAGAAAAGAAAGACGCGCGCGGAACACGCCCCCTCCTACCCGCGCCTCAGGTAACATGCTCGAAAATCAAACGTTGGTTGATTGGCATGCTCATTATACGCATGCTCATTACTAGCAATGTTTTGACACACGTGCTACTAATGAGCACTTGCTCAATAAAAGCATGCCTTCGTGCTAGTAATGATCGCGTCTGTCCGTACCTTTAAAGACTCAAAGCCCGTCTAGTAGTAAATAGTCTTTGCTACTATGTGAGCATTCACTTTCGTACAATTTTCGCTATTAATGACTTTTGTTGGGTATCTACACAAGCTCTTTCTTTTTGACTTTATCCCAATTTTACATCAGGTGCCTTGCCTTGTTCTGTTTTCGATAGCACAGAAATAATTTAGTGCTGTACATAAGCCTCGTTCACAGTCTCTATAATTCTACAACGTTTGGCGAACGCATTGACGTTAGCAGTATCGAACGTCTCACTGCTCCTCGTTATTATTCTCAATAAAATTAGTAACCGCGACATAAAAGATGGTTATATGATATCGGACATTAGAATAGAACAATTTATTAAAAAAATATGATATCGGACATTAGAATAGAACAACTTATTTACCACTGATTTGGAAAATACTTCTTTCCTGGGAAGAACCATTAAGAAACCCGGGGGATTATATTTTAAACATAATATGTAACTACAATAATTTTGTACAGTTTTAATAGAATAATGGAACCAGCATTGTGGTGATCATCTCATTTTCATGGTTTGTTTTCATTCATGTATTTCTTGATCATATAATAACCCTTTTTGCACAATTTTTCTTTAATAAAACTTTTAAACTTTTTAATTGACGATCATTAAACACTTTTGAAGGGTGTTTTATTTGTAGGGACGTGCTAGCCCACTACGGCTACAGCTGGGACAAAATGGGAGGCTTGGACTACCGTAACGTGTTGAAGCTCTGTGACCAGATCACTTTACGTACTGACGCCATATTGGATATCTACGGTTCTACTTTCGCTATGGTAAGGATAACAATTTTTAGAATTCTCCGAATAGTTCAATTACAGCACGAGACTTAACGACATCTTACAATCGAGTAGCGTCTGAGTATTTGGTCATTAGTCAAATTACATAAAAGCGTAACAAACTCTCTGTTAGTGTGAAATGATAACAAAGCCCTGGCTTAGTTAATAAAATGAAAATGTTATTCCCAGTATTTTTTGTAAAAAATATTAAAAATGCTATAAACATTATTAATATTCCCCTTAACCACTCGTGGTAAGCTTAAATTGCTTGTGTTACGAGTGGTTCACGCCAGAAGTCGAATGGCGGATTCGAACCTACGACCTTTTGAGTTCGCGGTCCGCGCACTGCCATTAGGCTACTATCGCTTTTAAGTATTCATTAATCCTGTTCTAAAAAAACTAATACAATATTGATTTCAACCAAAAATTCAGATTTAAGTCGTAATTATGATATCGTCTTAAATATTTCATGGTACTTTACTTAACTACGATCTTCATGGGCTCTGTTAGGATCTCAAGATTTTTTAAAAATATTATTCTAAGCCAGTGCTTAACTACAATCTCACCTGATGGTAAGTGGTGATGTAGTCTCAGATAGTGAATTGCACTGAATTAATAAAAACCCATTCACTCTTGCCTTGAAGACACACACGTTGTAATCTAATGGAAACACAGATGCTGGCAACTTATTCCACTCACTTGCTGTGCATATGATGAACGATCTAGCAAACCGTTTGGTTGGAATGCGTAATAAAACCACAACGATAGAGTGAAGACTGAACGAACCTCTGGATATCCGATGGTGGAGGGGAGAGGGAAGAATTAAATAATGCAGTTCCTGCGCACGCCCACCGAAATTCATCCTGTAGGAACCTGAAAGGCTGGCTACTTTGTGCCTGAGTTCGAGGCTGATAAGATTGGTTTTAACCAAATTCGGGTTACCAAGAAGTCTTTTCGCACCCGAGTCTAAAGCTGCTAGGTGTAGGCTTTTGCAGCGGCAGCCCATATTATGTAAGGAATACTCCATGCCCGACAGGACTTGCGATTTATATAAAGTAAGCAGCTGTCCCAACGTGCGCACCTTTGCAAGGACTCCTAGCTTCCTTGCAGCTGCTTTGCCGCCTTTGCAGCATTGGACACAATGAACAACCCTAAGTTCAGATTTCAGGATATTTCAACCCCCAACAACTGAAGACGGTCGGTGTATTCCAATGATACATTTCGGAAAGAAGGAGCAAAGATGAGCTGGCTCCTTCTGGCGTTAAAGTCCCCTAGTAAAACCAGTTGTGCCGTGGAATACCGATTGAGGGTCACATCAGCAGCCGCATTAAGATGATCAAATAATCGTGTGGTCAACTGGTCACCGTTGTGCAATCGACAGACACAGGCATATAGGACTTTATCAATACCTGTATCTACCACTACCCAGATTATCAAAAAAGTAGCGTCTTCAAGGTGATGGAGACGCTGGAAGCAGATTTCATTGCTGACGTACACACAGACTCCGGCACGTGGATGGAATTTGTGCTCCAGGGAGAATCCAAGATATACGAGGTACGCTGTACTTAATGGACATCCATTTTGGGTCTCCGTCAAGAAAAATAAGTGCAGCTTCTCAGTTTCAATATGGTGATGGACTGCGCTGAGATTAGAGTGCGATCCTTGAATTTTAGTGAGTCTAAAACTTTTTTCTGGTTCTCTTTTAATGAGATGACGTACAACCGCTGTTTAAACATACTTTTCTTTTTAAGAGACATACTCGTATTAAGAGTTAGGAATGAATAGGGACGAAGAATGACAGTTGATCGAGCGGAAGACATGCCGATAAAAAAGGTGTTGCTTGACGTATGATGTTAATGTAATTCTGATAAACTCACTTATGTGTTTCTGCAGCATATTATATTGCTAAATTTCAATTATTTCCTATGTCCAATATCGACACAGATATCGAGGTGTCTAAGTGATCCAGTGATGCTAATTTTAGTACGAAATATATTGATGTTTCTAAATTGAAGCCGACGCGAATAAAGCCTCGGGAAAAAGCTAGTATTCAATAAATCAATCAATATTAGAATAGAATAGAATAAAATTTTTCAGTGTCCAATCCTGAGCCAATGCGACGTGTCTCTGCTTCGCATCATCGGCCGTGCAATGCACAGCGTCCATTTCCTTCAAAACACACGAATAATTGAAAACGATGACGTTATCAACGACATATTCTTTGTAGACTTTGGCAGCGTAGAACTCATTTACAAAGAAAGTGGAGCGTTTCAGGCTGTAGAATTGACTAAAGGCAGGTATGTACCAAAACATTACAGCCTGTTATATACTTCTTTTATTTACTACCTAACTAATGGTGTATAATGTATGGGTATAATAAATGCAAAATTTTGTTGACCGACGTAATTATAAAGAGTGGTTCATAGCTAATCTATCTAAAAATGGTCAGTGTGAGAGTCAGGTCAGCTCTACTCACTCAACCACGCGAGAGACAAGTTAACAGCCTACCCAGAACAAGGTAGAATAGTTACGACGAGACAAGGTTTTTTTCCTGCTTGGGGTCACTCAGAGCCGGTCATCATCAACGTCATCATTACGGTTCACCACAAGGCCACTGCTGAACAAACGTCTTCCCCAAAAATAAAACCATAAGCACGGTGCTGAGCCACCTACATTTATCGACTTCCTGCCTTATCTTACTAATTTGTCACTCTACACTTCGCATACTGGTACGAGGTTGGCACTCTAAAACTTTTTTCCTCGTAAGTTGTCAGTTCTCTGATCTATATGGCTGACCCTTTGCTCTGATCTGATATAAAGTCTAATAAAATTATATAAATTCTATCATAGAGATAAACTTTGACCATAGCCCTCTCCCTAGACGACTTTAAACATCCACATACGACCAGCAATGAAGGATTGCTTCTTAGATCCAAATATCATCACGGGCAACACGTACTAGTTTAACGCCTTTGTTTTCAAATTTGAAAAAATAAGTGACAGGAAGGTGTATGATTACTCTCAGCAATGACCAGCTAAGCCGGATCCGTCGGTAGATGGTCGAAATCGTAATCGGGCTAGTCGGGCAATTTTTTCTACTCGTTTATTACTTTGAGCAAAGTGTTTGCTACCGACCGATAGATGGTATCAAGGACGTTACATGTCATAACGTGGTCTGGATAGGAACCAAACTACCTAAGTCTGCCACCATGCAATAGTGCACTAACTGATGTATTGCGGTTTTAAGTTGCAGGTATCCAACATCTGTATGGACTTGTCAATGTCCCCCGAATTTTGGTCACAACGGCCAGTCGTCAACTCTCAGCGGAAACTGTACAGAACTGGTTTATAATGCACGAGTGTATGCGCAAACATAGGTGTACTCTCTATTCTCTCACTCTCATAATCCGATGGGCCAACAATCCAACATGAACGGATAAAGATAACGCGCAAGACCGACGGCTTTACGTAATTTCCGCGGCACGAGGGTGAAACACCACCAACTTAATAATCTCGGGATGCCACTAAGAATTTTTCGACAGAAAAACCCAATAACTTATTCTGTACTAACTTGAGATTAGAACCCGGGACCACATGATCAACAGTCGTGATTACCAAACAGAACAGCTACATTATGGTTGTACCACGAATGAATTGGGTTGAATGAGGCGAGTACCAGCGTAAATTAGCAGCTTAATGCTCGTGTGTTTCTTATGACGAGTGTAGAAAACCGGATACAACAACGTTGACAACGCATCTGCATTGTGGTTCTTAATTGAGCCAGATCTACTTACCATCAGGTGGACTGGGTATTCTTTTGTTACCCTTATTCTTTAAAAAAATATCTAGATCAAACGTGCAGTGAAAGTGTGTTGTGAATAACAAGTGAATGAACACGGATCTCCGGAGACTGTTGCCACATCATAGCAACGCGCCTACGCACTCAACGCTCAAAACGACACGGCTTCCTGAACAGCTTGTCGTCTTGACTTTTCATCGGCCGTCGAAGATGTATCGTAAGCGGACTAAAAGACGGTTTCGATAACTGGTTCAGACGCTTGAAACTTTGCAAATGTGAGACCGATGAGACTGATTGAGAGTTCTTTCATAAGATTTAATAATAAAAACTTTAGCCATAGAACTTTATTTTTTGTGAGCAGGGATGAGTCGGTTCCACCGGATTTGGACTGCGCTCTCACAAAATATCAGCGTAAAATAACAGCGTAAAGCTGCTTTTGTGTAGACAACGGGAGACTTTTTTCATTGGAAAAAAAGCGTTCCATCTTAGTCCTCAGGAGTGACAATGCATCTGCATTTTGATTCTTAATCGAGGATAAATATTTAAGCCTATGGGCCACATCTACTTACCATCAGGTAGACTGTGTGTTTGTTTATCCCTTATACTATCAAAGTTACATCTATTATACCTGATGGCAAATTGCTACTGCACTATAAGCTTTGCATCACATTTTATTTTCACAGTATATTCGGTGAACTGGATGGCGCTCCATCGTTCCGATCACCGGTGTGCTTAGTGTCGTTGAGTAAAGTACATCTGCTGCAAATTAATGCCACTGCTTTTTATAAAATTATCAGTGACTTCCCTGATGTTGTACAACTCTTGAAGTCGTATCGGCCAAATAATGAGGTTTGCTTGTCCCGTATAACATTTTAATTCATTCATTTTTTTCCTTACAGGAAACGAGGCATTCCATCTTAGTTCTCAGGGGGGACAACGTATTTTGATTCCTAATCGAAGTTATATGTAGATGTCTATGGGCCACAGCATCCACATAATATCATCAGGTGCACTGTGTTTTCCTTTGTCAAGAGTATTCTATGAAAAAAATCTGTAGTTACACACAGCCTTTTCCCATATATGCCCTATATACCCACGCTTGGATGACGGGTTGGCTACAGCGTATTCTTTTGCAGTTGTTATTAGGTAGATTCTGCTACTCATCTCCTAAAGTATCTTAAAATTTGGCTACTCTTTGAAAAATAACCCTGTGTATCCTGAAAAATTATTATTCGCTTGGCGGTGTAAAAGGACTGAGCAAAATTGAACGCCCGTGGAATTAGTCTAAACGCCTGGTGGTAAGAAGCCTTACAAAAGTAAAGTTACAGCATATACGTCCCACTGCTGGGCACAGGCCTCCCCTGATTTCTGAGAGGGTTTTAGGGCAAGGAAGTGTCCGCCGCGCTGCCCCAATGTGTGTTGGCGAACTTCATATGTCTTCAAAATATTTTTCTTATTCCTCAGACATGCAGGTTTCCTCACGATGTTTTCCTTCACCGCCTTATGGTACGGAGACTTAGCTACGAAGAATTCCCGATTCACTTCATCCGAATGCGAATGCTTGGTAAGCGAAAGGATGGAACACCGTCATGCGTCTGGTTGTGCAATGATGGAAAGGGTATTTTTATCAGCATCACTAATACTAAAACGGTATGGGGGAATTAAATTGTGTAATTCTTGCATACACTCCTCAAAATTAATATTGAATTGAAAATTGGCCAGTTTGACCAGCTAAATATACATTTTTAGAGCTATACAGTATTTTTTTAGTAATGCTCGGTACCAAGCAAATACTCTAGGTAAAGGAAACACATACATATTTAATCGTATACATTTACACCTGTCACCTAAAGGGGTAGGCAGAGACTACGGACTTCCATTTGGCACGATATTGACACACCTCTACTTACCCGTTGGTATGTGGATATAGAAAGATCACATCCATATAACTACGCATACATGGTCGTCGGTTAAGTGTACTCTTAATCTGACCCATCTCCAATATATCGCCAATTTGGTCGGTAAATTTTCTTCTCGGGCCCTTCACTACTCTGCCGTTCACTTCTGCAACATAAATTTGCTTATGTTACTATTTCTACGTTAATTTTTTCTACATGACCAAAACCATCGAAGCATTCCTTTTTTAATCCTGGTTACAGCATCGTCTTACAAACCACACTTTTCACTTATTACACAATGTCTCACCCTGTGTCATTTAGATTCGGACGTAACATACTCCTTAAAAACCGCATTTCTACTTAAGACAATTAAACTTTTTTTTTTCAGAATTATGTATTAGGAATAACGGGTGGGAGGTCCTCGATCATTATAAAAGATCCCAGACCCATTTCTTCTATAATACCGATGCGAAGGCGCAAGGGCCTTTTCAAATTTCTCCACTTTAATAACGCGATGGTGCAACTGTATCTGGTAGTCGTGTCTTTGCTCTGCATCCATGGTGACGTCTACAACGCTGGGTTTCAAGATAATAGGATATTATTGATTCTAGTCCTCTATTTATTGGATCTAGGATTCTGCTTTAAGTTTTTGATTCCTTACGCTATGCCGGATATTGCTGAAAAGGACGATGACGTTATAAGAGTTCTGTTGGAAGATAGACAAAGGTAAATGTACTTCTTTTACAAAATGTTATCATTTATTAATCTACATAATTGATGGTCAAAGAAAATATCACAAAGAAACTAACACTTTTGTGACTTCCTTTACATAGCGTTGGAGTCTCATCAGCGACTTGGGACTTCTTGAACTTCATGTACGATTTTCATTTTTGAAAATAATAATTCGTCTCTACGAATGGGCTAATCCCAGTCAGCCTCTCGGGTCATCTGAGACGACTGAGACTCCGTGACGGACCGCTCCGGGCTCAAATGCAGAAGGCGGTGCTCCTCAATACCGCCCGCATCGTCCGCCGGTTTCTTTCCCTTTCCCCCTAACCCTCGGCCGTTTGGTCTCCCCTACCGAGGGCTTCCATCTGGTTGGATCTTATTTATTTATGTATTTTTTGTATTTATTTTATTTTATTGATATTTATATATATTTATCTTTTCATTTTAACTTAAAATTATATATTTATAGAACCCAACCAGATGAGAAAATTATATAGATACCCCATAATAATAATAATAAATATTTATTTGCATAAAACATGGTACATTTTTAGATCTTATTACATAGAGTGTACATGCATGTTTTACCGGTTTATCGGTATGCAAATATTACGTCAACGTGCAATCGAATAATTAAAATTAGAAAAATAAAAATTACAATATTATTTCATATTAAGAGGATAGAGTAAGTCAGCTCAAATTCTAATTTCGCCCCCACTTCCCCCGTGCGTTGTATGCTATGTACCGATATGTTTGTAATCACTAATACTGTAAGTAGAAAGGTCGTTAGACACTTATTTCATTAGGTTTATCATATTTATGCCTGTTTCTTAACGCCAAGCCAGCCGCTTCTTATTTTTATCACGGTTATTTCCCATTTTAATTTTACGTCGTACTGTTGCGTAATGTATATTCTGATCGTAAGCGACACAACTTCTCCCTTCAAAAGCCTAAGCGATACTAACGGGGCGACAGGAATCAAGCTCAAGACGCCGATAGTTTAGGTAATTTCTTTTTACAGTGAAAATAATGGTATTTAAAAAAAAGTAAATAACATAAGCACTGCTTTATAGTTAGTTCAGTTAGTATGCAAAGTTTCATGATCTTATTTAAAGTATTTTATGAATAACAGCGGTTTATTGTTTATTTTGGAGGTAACTTTGGATTTTTTTTCTATCGAGAAAATTTTACGAAATCGTGTTTTCGTCTAACATAATCATTAACATTAATAATCAACTTTACCATATATTTATTTCAAAATTAATGCTGCAATATTTTCGGCATAACGAAGGATCTTGCTAAGCCATTTGACATTATATTTCCCCTTAATTTGAATAAAACAAGTAAAAGAAAAAAATATACATCATGATATGATGTATATTTTTTTCTAATGCATAATGTCAAACTAGTATAATGTCAATCTTACAAACTCTTAATCATTTGTCAATTTAAAATTTCATACATCAGCAACAATTCGCTTGAGGTGACCGTCACTGCAGGCGTTGAACATAATACCTATATGAATTAAAGTCACACAAGACAAGAGCTGTTCGTCGCTATACCTTATCTGTGCTGCGCTACACGACCCTGACTTGCACAGATGTCCACACGTGAATTTTGTCCCACAATGATTTTAGAAAAGAATAATTCAATCGATATTAGTACGAGACGACGCGACGTAGTAGTTAGAGACGAGTAGAAGTAATATTGTAAATCTAAAAGTTTTCAGCAATCAAAAATGTTTCCCATTATCGTGAGAATTACTCTTTACTTACTTCACTACTCTTCGAATATTTTTTAATTTATTATTTACAAGTAATTCTACTTAATTGAGAGTATCTTTTTACTTTTTTACTTTTACCACTCGTTTGGAGAAAACCTTTGTCCTGAGACGAACCAACAAGGAAAGTAACCCAGCGGAACATTTTGCGGAAATGTTTACAATCTTCAAAATAAATAAGAAATGTCTTAGCTGTGGGTTACAACAAATTGTTCCTGAAATTGGTTTACTTCGTTTATCAGTGTAATCCGCTGTTTAAAGATAAAGTAAAACTTCTCTTTTTATCAACGTGCTCACTGAAATTACAGGCCCACGGTATCACATTTCAATGAGAAAACATACATTGGCACTGTTAAGGTCCGGTTGGACAAAATATTATATTTTAGACACGATTTTGACACGCAAGAAATAATACTTTTTGAAATAGTTTAATTTCGGAAAAAATGTGCAAGCATGATATACCTATATACTCAATTAAAATCTTAATTGAATGATTTTTTTTATAAGACATTTAATATTTTTTGACAATATGAAATGAATTGCATTAGATTCTTCAAGGGCTACATTTTTATTTAGATCCCGATAATGAGATAGATTTCCTGATTTTAAGTTATAAAACGTTTTAAAGAAAGTAACTTTTGTCCACCAAGTGTCGCACGCTTTCTAGGGAAGGAAATCCTCGCCTCAATGCCTGAAAGTGCTGAACTGCAATGTGACTGTTTTGTGACAATTCAATTCGTAGTTCACGCTGTACAAATAAAGCGACAGTGTAACTGTGGCACATTAACAGGCAGCGCGACTTTCATGTGAAAGAGTGAAGGCGGCTGAAGTCTTAAACAAAATGATTTTAATAATTAAGTTTGCTAATTAACGTTTAAGCAATGTGAACACTTCTGTTCATCAATATCGTCTTAAATTTAGGGTGGAAACCTCGTTCACTGCAATACGTCTTATAAAGGCTGTTAATTTTGTAGTTATTAGCTTCTGCACCGGTTCCTCTCTTGTAGTAGGTAACAGAAACGATTTAATTTCTTTTTAACTTTCCGTTAGTAAGATGTATCCCATAACTTTGTCCGGAACATGGTCTATCTAAGTGTATATCATACAAATATCTTTGATCAATTATGTTTGACTGTGTAACATACATTCAAATATTTTCACAACTTTTATTTCTAGGTACATTTATTTAAACTAAATACCTATTACAATTTTCAGGTATTATAATTACGAATTTAAATTCGACGTTTTATCCTGCGCTCCTTTGGAATTATTTAGCTTCTTGAGCTATAATCACCGTGGGATGTTATTTTCTATGTTCCGATTAAATAGGTTGTTTAGAGTTGTAAGTATAATGATTTCTTATATTTACGCGAACACTATACATTGATTAAAACTACTTTTACTGTATTAAAATTAATATAAATAAAACGCGGTAAAATCCGTAAAAGTAGTTTTAATCAATAGAGTTGTAAGTTTATTTTTTCTTATTGTGACTTTGAAATTTTAATATAGGTATGTATTTATAGACATCGGTTGTTACTTTGAGAAAATGCATTATAATTATTATGTTAAAAATTAATTAGCTGGATCCCGTTAATAAAGTAATGTGTGTTACATAATACAAATGATGTGTCTTGTTAGCATTAGTGGTGTCAATAATTAGTGCATGCAAGGTAACACACATCATTTAATTTTATTACGCAAACCTTAGATAATTAATTTTCAAGATCTTTGGTATTAACGAAGGATGTACAGAGATCAAAACATTCGTAACAAATTCCGACCTCACCTACTTGCGGTGTGCTATTTTGATATTTTAATAACCAACAATATCAGTATCGTGTTCCTCTTCTTTACCAGCGTGTAACAGTCCACCACTGGAAGAGAACCTCTTTTCTTATAGAGATGATTTACCTTAATCGCCACGTTTGCTAATCGGATTGGCGATTCTCTCACCTTTGATGTTGCTCCCTGTTTCCCGTCTAGATATTTTACGTCTGCTGTAAGTAAGAACCGTCCGTACCTCCACCTATAGGTAGCTGTAACATTTTTCTAACATACTGTATGACTGTGTTTTTGAATGACAAATTAGAGTTATATCTATTCGAAATATTCGAAAATACAAAACTCAAATAGTGGTTTCAGCCACAGAACGGTGGGGGACATTAGTGCAAAGATTTCGGCTCTACTCTCATTAAGCCAGCTGGTTATCGACTAATATGGAATGCTTCTAGTAAAGAGGGTTCAATACACTCATCATACAAAACACAGCAGCAAAAACCTGCTAGTTTACACTGGTATTCTGTGATAGCGTGGTCCTACCCTGGTCGAGCCGACTAGTTCGTACTACAACTATAATATAGCTGCATTGTGGCTCTACCACATACAAGTAAAGTAAAAAAAGTAAAGTTACGTCCACGTACGTCCCACTGCTGAGCACAGGCCTACCCTCATTTCTGAGAGGGTTTACTACCACATAATGTTAAAAAATTCGTGCAAAAGAAATAGCTTTTGATATACTTTATTGCAATAATTATTTACAGCTTTATTTAATGCTTTGCTTTTACTAAGATAACGGTGTACAAGGGCGTCAGTCGCCACCACGAAAGGCTCTCCATCAATATAACGCTGATGACCATTTACTCGGTGTTCGTCTGGTTCACGCTATTCGTGCACGTGACCACGTGCCTCTGGTACTTCCTGGGCCATATTCAGGACAACGTCCAACCCAAGTCTTCGTGGATTTATAAGAGTAATGACTACAGATTTTTCAGACGTAATATTTTAAATGTTTATCTTTTAACCAGTTGATAGCAAATTTGATCCAACTTCTGCAACTTTTTCAAAAAACAATGGACATATTCAGTTTTTTTTTAATTTAAAACTTAAGTGACTTATAGTCCACCTAATGTTAAGTAGCTACTGCACTCCATTTACTTCACTTTAAACAAAGAAGACTCCAGAAGCGTTATCGTCTATGAGGAGTTCGAATGCCTAGCAGCCTGCAATTGTTTGCAATGTTTGTAATTATAAATACAAGTTGTGATCTTTTTTTTTCAATTTGACGTTATTTTTAAAGTATTTAACTTTATCTCGTTGATTAATAAACCAATATCATAGAAAAAGTCTTCGTTCATAGAGGTCCCATTAAAACTTCAGCTAGACCAAATGATAATAATAACTTAATCGACTTGATTCCTTTTCCGGATCACAGTTAGAAAAATGTTTCCCATTGTAAAAAAGAGCCTTCATTACCTCAATGTAGTACCACCTAGCATCGACCATGGTAACGGCGGGGCAGAGGGTGCTAAGAATCTCCGGTGGAGGTTCGGTTGCCACCTACGATGACTCGACCTGGCAACATATAACGCACGCACCCTGAGGACTGACGAGAAGATACTAGAGCTGGAAGAAGAGGTAGACACGTTGCGCTGGCATATTATTGGATTATCCGAGGTTTGAAAAGAGGGGGAGGACACGCTAATACTCGAGTCCGGCAACTTGTTCTATCACCGGGAGGGCAACCATCTGTCCCAAGGAGGTATCGGATTTATCGTCCACAAGTCTCTCGTCAATAACGTTGTAAAGATTGGGAGTGTGTCGACGAGGGTCGCGTACCTGATGCTCAGAATCACTAAACGGTATTCGCTGAAGGTCATACAGGTTTACGCACCAACCTCGGCACATCCCGATGACGAGCTGGAGGAAATGTATGAGGATATTTCCAGAGCCATGTATTCCTCCGAAACCCACTACACGGTGTTCATGGGAGACTTCAACACAAAACTAGGCACAAGAGAAAACGGTGAGCTGAAGTAGTAAATTTAGAGTAGGGCAACGGAACCGAAGAGGCCAGCAGCTGGCCGAATTTATGAAGAAAGAGGCACTCTTTATGATGAACTCTTTCTTCCAGAAGCGGCCCCACAGGAAGTGGATCTGGTCGAGCCCCGACGGTTCGACAAAAAATGAGATTGACTTCATTATGACGACCAGACGCCAACTGTTCAGTGATGTCTCAGTGATCGCAAGGGTGAAAACTGGCAGCGACCACAGAATGTTTAGAGACACACTGAACCGTTAAGTTGGAGAGGTCTCGTCTAATGAAGTCAACGCTCCGTCCCCCTCGTGCTCTAATCCCGAATCCCGAAACCTTTCAGCTCGAGTTACGTAACCGCTTTCAGTGCCTAGAAGATTGCAATGCAGTGGACGATATGAATGAAAAGGCTCGTGAAAACTGTCCATGCGGTCGGAGCTAAGTTCTGCAAGACCCGCCGCAGAAGAACACTAAAACTCTCTGATCACACTCTTTATCTCATGGCTGTTAGACGGGAGATGCGGCTGCAATCGTCAACAGATTTGACAGCATACAGGAAACTGAACAGACAGATCTCCAAATGCATGCGGCGAGACTTGCGCAACTTTAATACTGCTCGTATTGAAGAAGCGATCGAGCGGAACCAGGGCTCCAAAGTCTTTGCCAGAGATCTGTCTGCCAGAAAGAGCCAACTGTCAAAGCTGAAGACTGAATGTGGCAGCATTGTTTCCGGGACACCTGAGATTTTAAGTGAGATTGAGAGGTTCTATGGGCAGCTGTACACATCATCGTTGGAGCCACACGCAAGTGTGAGTAAGTCTTATGCGACACTATTCCGATGATATCCCGGACGTCAGTCTGAGCGAGATTAGAATGGCTCTTCAGTACCTTAAAAACGGCAGGGCCCCAGGCGAGGATGGAATTACAGCGGAGCTTCTGAAAGCGGGTGGAACACCGGTAGTTGAAGTCCTTCAGAAGCTCTTCAATTCCGTACTCCATGGTGGCACTACTCCGGAGGCGTGGAGCAGAGGTGGTCTTGTTCTTTAAGAAAGGCGACAACGCTCTTTGAAGAACTACAGACCGATTTCCCTTCTGAGCCGCGTCTACGTGCTGTTTTCGAGAGTCATTACGAATCGTCTCGCACGCGGACTCAACTACGTCCAGCCTCCCGAACAAGCCGGTTTCCGAAAAGGCTTCAGTACCATAGACCACATACATACCCTGCGGCAGATTGACCGAATTGCAGAAGCTAAGAAATTGCGATTACAGAAGACCGAAGAGTACAATCTGCCACTTTGCCTGGCGTATGTGGATTATGAGAAAGCCTTTGATTCCGTCGAAATTTGGGCGGTGCTACAGTCCCTTCAGCGGTGCCAAGTTGACTGTCGATATATCGAAGTGCTGAAGTGTTTGTACAGTAGGGCTACGATGGCTATCAGAGTACAGAACCAGAGTTCGAAACCTATCCAACTGCAGAGAGGTGTAAGACAGGGTGATGTTATATCCCCGAAACTCTTCACCGCTCCGTTGGAAGACGTTTTCAAGCTACTGGGCTGGAAAGGATACGGTATTAACATCAATGGCGAGTACATCACTCACCTTCGATTTACCGACGATATAGTCCTTATGGCAGAATCGCTGGAGGACCTTAGCACTATGCTCAATAACCACAATGGCTTTCGTCTCTCAACGGATAGGTCTTAAGATGAACATGGACAAAACAAAGATCATGTTTAATGTCCATGTCACACCTATGCCGGTAGTTGTTGGGAGCACTATGCTCGATGTTGTTGACGAGTACGTTTACCTGGGACAAATAGTCCGACTAGGTAAGTCCAACTTCGACCGAGAGGTCAATCGACGGATTCAACTCGGCTGGGCAGCGTTCGGGAAATTACGACACATCTTCTCGTCAGGTATACCTCAATTTCTGAAAACTAAAGTGTACAACCAGTGCGTGTCGCCAGTGATGACTTACGGATCTAAGACGTGGTCCTTCACTGCTGGCCGTATGAGGACGCTCAAGATCTCTCAGCGAGATATGGAGAGGGCTATGCTCGGAGTTTCTCTGCGTGATAGACTCAGAAATGAGGATATCCGCAGTAAAACCGGAGTGACCGACATAGCCCAACGGATTAGTAAGCTAAAGTGGCAATGGGCCGACCATATAGCTCGAAGAACCGATAACCGATGGGGAAGAAAGGTTCTCGAGTGGCAGCCTCGTACCAGTAGGCGTAGTGTAGGGCGACCCCCACTAGATGGAGTGACGACCTGGTAAGACATGCAGGAAGTCGATGGATGCAGGTGGCTCAGGACCGTGCTTTGTGCCATTACTTGGGGGAGGCCTATGTTCAGCAGTGGACTTGTGAAGGGCTGTAATGATGATGATGAGTACCAGCTACGTACCAGACGTTACTCAATTTTGATAATGCTTCCTTTTTTATAGAATAAGGGTGATGAACGGGCACACAATCTACCTGATGGTGAGTGGATGCTTTGATCCATAGACACCTACGGCTTTTATTCAAGAATTATAATCTCCGATTCTTTACACTAACCATACGAAACAACAACATTGGCCTGACGTTTCACGCTGATATTCTGTGAGAGCGCCATCCTCCCCCGTCTGACCGACTTACTCGTCTACAACCATAATATAGCTGCAGCAGGGCTCTACAACATATAAATATCCTATCCTATTATCAGTCTGAAGATTTATTAGGACACCTTTTTATTGGAGGCTATAAGATCTTCCAGGCTTCTTTTTGCTTCTTACGACAACCGTCGTAAGTCGTCACCGTACGGCAATACCTTTTGGTACTAACTAATCATTATATTTAACGTAAAATTCTATGTTAGTCTTCAAATTCTTTATCTTCTTTTATCAAAAAATTATGATGAATCTAAATATTTTCTAGATGACGGCAGTTCCTGGTGCAATAACCTGTATATTTGTTCACTATACTTCGTTCTTACAACCTTCACGCAGAACGGTGTCGGCGATATCATGCCAAATAATCGGGCTGAGGTAGGCTAAATTTACATACATACTTTTAAAATTCTATACTAATAATAACTATTAGTTTTTTATAGAATGAGGGTGATCAACGAGCACACAGTCCAGCTGATAGTAAGTCGTGCTGTAGTAAGTGATGCTGTTACTCATATACATCTACATTTATCCATTAAGAATCAAAATGCAGATCTGTTGTCACCCCTGATGACTAAGATGGAATGCCTAGTTTATTTTTATTTGTTATTAGAGAGACGATGCAGCCCTTCTCCTGGTCTGTTACACTCTATCGCATCTTACGAAACCCACGGGACGGTTTAATGTAGTGGATTCCTACACCAACACTAAACCCTCTCCCATTCACTACAGTATAATTTCATTCAGACTGTCGTCAAAATGATATGTAGTTAGTTACATAGTTCATCATTCAGTATTAATGTATGCCTACCAACTTGGCTGATATTGTTGTGCCTCTGTCAGCGTACATTGCACTTGACTGTCGCAGTACCAAATATATCTTTCTGATATTACGACATATCTATACTAATAAGAAGAAAGCGAATTTTATGAGTTTATGTACACGTGGTAGAGCCATGCTGCAGATACCTTATGGTTGTAGCACGAATCTAACGGCTCGCCCACGCTCTCAGAGAACACCAGTGTAAAATAGCAGCTCAATGCTTCTGTGTATCGTATGGTGGATTAAGAGAACCGGATACCTTTTACTAAAAACGAGGCATTCCATCTTAGTCCTCAGGGGTGTCAACGCATCTCCATATTAACTTTTAATCAATAATGGATGTAGATGTCTATGGACCACAGCATACACTTACCACTTATTCGATTTTCACACTTATTCGATTAAAAAATGTGCAGGTAATCTACACAACCACTGCACCTATTTGATATTTTTTTCTTAATTTGAAAAGTACATATATTATCATATCATATTTCTGGTGGACGTAAGTTACATATTACGTATATATTCATATATTATGTATAAACATACATTATGGCTAAAAGTAGTCGATAAAAGTCTTTTGGCGCTGCGTGGATATTTAAAGTTGCACGAAAATAATGTATGGCTGAATTGTTCCACTTGAAAAGTTATAAAAGAAAGTAATTATATGTTAGTCTTGTAAGGATAACTCACAATTTATATAAAATTTCTCGCTCGACAAGATCCTGTTTTACATGAAGAACCCTGTCAACTTGAAGACACGCCTAAAGCCCTATCTATATTAGTAAATTTACCCTAAAATTGTGCAAAATATCTAAAAGTGGAAACACTGCACGAACGCACGGCACGCATTGGTGGTCGCGTTGGTGCTCCATAAACATTTTAGCACCAATGAGTCGGTGCCATTTTGTTTGTTTAATGACCCTGTTACACAGTAGTATAATAAGTGTATGAATGGCGGTCGACGTGGTGGTGGCGAAGATATCGGTGCAGGAGATGTACATAATAACTAGGTAACCCGTGCAAAACCGGTGCGGGCCGCTAGTAACAGATAGATACACAACACCTCTAGGAATCTCAAGCTCATCCATCCATTACAGCCTATAAAAGCCCACTGTTAAACATACGCCTCCCCTATAGATTGCCTCATAGGGGATGGAGGGGATTTTGCCATAGTCGACGGTTGGCGAGCGAGTAGTCAACCGTATTTTTTTATTTCGGATTGTTATCGGGAAGGTGCTGCTACCCGTCACCTATTTCAATTTATATGGTTTAGTCACGGTAATATTATCTATATATTACCGTGGATTAGTGGATATTCTTACATAGCCACAACATGAAAAAATATCACTGTCATATTAGTCTAGTGTTATTAAAAAGATATTTACAAAGTGTCAAGGCGGTTAAGAATAAAAATAATTAATCCTTAAATAAACGTGATTCAATATTGAACTGTTTTGTTCACCGGCAACCGATAAACAAAGTACAATTCGTACACGGCACGCCGACATTTTAACTGGCAGCGTGACAAAAACCAATGCATCAGTGACGTGCGGTCATGTTTATCTGAGCTCTGCCATTCGTTATTAAGCATTAAATATAATCCTTCCGAAAATTCCGATGTTTAAAAACTGTTTTCTTATAACAAACATATTATGAAATAACTAATATAAATTAAACTAATATGAAAATACTTTTAGCACTTAATAATACCAATTTCATACTGTAAGTAGGTATATAAAATTTGTTGACTGTTTTTTTTTTCTTTTTTCGTTTTAAAGATCGTTACCTCTACACTAGGATTTTCTCCTGTATCGTGAGGGCAAATTAGATACATAAATTATTGCACTATGACAAACATCCAAACCCGGAATAATTATTTGTAGGTCATACAAATACTAGTACCGTGCGGGATTCGAACCCTCATTGCTAAGCCACTGGACCACGAAGCCGTCGAATTTGATACAATTTACCCTCTAGAATTTCCGTCTCTAATTTTTTAGTGTTACCACTCCAATCGATTGAACATCGATCGTCGATGGAATGCATTAGTCGACATCGATCGATTATCTCTACCACACCAATCGATCGATGGTGGACTGGATTGGTCGACGTCGATCGATTGCTTCATTATTCGAGAACCCGCTCCGCTCTCCACCGAACGAAGACACTGATGATGAGTCCACAACCACATTGATTAATTGTCGATCGATGATTGAACACCGGTCTATCGACCAGTATCCGTCGATCAGCTAAAGCGACCATACCAATCGATCTACATCGATCGACGTCGATGAATGGCATAGATCGCCTGTTGATCGATTGGTGTGGTAGCACCCTTAACGTTATTCTTTACCACATAGTTTGATTAGTTTTCAGTTTCATCACCAACATCATCACCGCAGCCCATTGCAATTTTTTTTCGCTGAACAAAACATCTCCCAAGAACTGCAACAACGCACGGTCCTTAGCCGCCTACTTCCTTCAACTCCCTGCACGTTTACTCAGTCATCATGTCATAAACTAAACTAGTTCTAATTAACCATCATTATCATACTGTTCGGTTTAGTGTCAGTCTACAGCTGGATATAGGCCTCTTGGCCCAATTGGTCCGATCTTTGGTTCCACAGTTGTAGTTCCTGTTCCAGCTGCTATCAGACGCCTATCGCAGATCGCAGTTCCATCTTGTCATCATAGTAAAGTAACAGCCTATATACAACTGCTTGGCACATTCCTTCTTTCATTTCTAACAGTTCTCTTTTGGAGTAATTATTCCATGAACTGTTTCAATGGGCGTTGACAAGCTTCATAGGTCCTCAAAATATTTTGTTCCTCAGAAGTGCAGGTTTCCTCACGGTGTTTCCCTTAACCTCCAAGCACTTGGTAAATCATCATTTGAAATTGCAAATAACTATTTCATTGGTTCCGGCGGGGTTCGAACCCGGGTCACTCGCATAATGTGAAATTTACAGCGAGCTTTAGCTCCTAGCTTACCATGGCTCTATCATTTGCTCAAGTTTATTAAAAGTGGACGACAGAGTCAGGAAGTGATGCCCTAGACGAAAGTTTATCGACCAAATCGGCGATATGTTGAAGATGGGCCAGATTTAGAGTACCCTTAATCGTCGAGCATGTATGCGTTGTAAAGGAGACTAGAGACGTGTGTCTGGATTGTGTCAAATAGAAGTAAGTAGTCTCCACCTCTGGGTGACAGGCTTGAGAGTTTATGTTGTTAAAATCTCGTTCAAAGTTATCCTGCTTTTCAGGTTGTATTTGTGTCCGTTCTACAAGTGATCTCCACGATGGTCTTCATGATTTACGTTGGCGAGTTCTCCAACATCATTCAGTACCAGTCTTACCGCTCGTTCGGCTTCTACAGCAAGTATTTGGAGCTTCAGGTATGTACCGGTATCTGACCGTGTGATGGCGGTGTAAGAATATCCAATATCCTGTGGGTGTGTTAAGAAGCGACAGATTCAGACAAACCAGGAGATGAGCAGCAGCGTCTTCCAAATAATAACTTTAAAAAATTCTGCGGCTACCAACCAGTCGCCAAGCGTGCCAAGACTCTTGATAGAGCCATGTTACGGTTACATTATGGATCTAGTACGAATGGGTTGGTTCGATCAGGAAAGGACAACGTTCTTACCACTTTAGAGCACCAGTGTGAAATAGCAGATTAAAGCGTTTCGTATGGTAAAATGTAGTGAACCGGAGACCCATTTCGTTAGTCCTCAGGGATAACAACGTACTCTGCATTTTGGTTTTGAAATGTAGATACCTATGTGCCACAGCATCATCTTACAGGTAGACTGTGTGCTCATGTGTTACGCTTATTCTAAGAAAAACACAGTTTTATTTGTTAGTTGTTATTAGCTGCTATTCACCTTCTGGTCTGTCTCCTCCTACCTGACCTTCTGTCGCCTCCTAAGTCACCCACGGGACGGTATGAAGTTGTGGATATTCTTAAGCCACTACACGATCGAAGCCTTCTAAGTCTAAGTGGTCTAACAAAATCATTCGGAGTCAAAATATGTACAACAGACTAGTCCATCGGTTAAGGGTTTCAATTTGCTGCATCTGTTTCCTTCTAAGATTGCATTCGTTCATATTTCAAATAGCCTTATGTATGAAGTGCACTATAAAGATGAGTACCTAGCAGTCGAGTGCAGATAGGGGAATGTTATTGCGTGTTTATCTCCTGTGATGGTAATAACTTATGGCTATAATCTAGACTTGAAGAGTAAACATAAAAATTATGATGCTGTTCATAACGAATTTCGATCACGGCTCTAAGTCTCAACGGAGACTAGCCCTAGCGCAGGACAGGATTATAGTGCTCGAGTGTGCGTGCAAGCACAGGTGCATTCTCTATTCCCTCACTATCATAGTCTGATGATCATAGTAAATTCGACATGACTGGAGCGAGATCAGGCGCAGGAACAGTGACTTCACGTGCTTTAAAATAAGGGAGTAGTGGGTGGAGTAACAGCTACTTTAATTCTTCTTCACTCTTGTACGTGTAAGCTGTACATGTTGTTAAGGGCTTCTTTCATTCCAGAAAGCTAGTATCTTCATCATCATTGCAGTCCTTCACAAGTCCTCTGCTGAACATAGGCTTCCCCCAAGGAATGCCACAAAGCACGGTCCTGGGCCACCTGCATCCATCGACTTCCTGTGGGGAGTCGCCCTTCACTAGCCTACCGGTACGAGGCTACTACTCGAGAACCTTTTTACCAAAAAGTAGTCTTTTTATTTTTTTATAGGAGAAGGGTGAAAAATGAGCACACAATCCACCTGATAGTAAGTGGTTGCTGTGGTCATATTCCAGCAAAAAGGGTATCTGGTTCTCTACACTCACCTTACGAAACTTAACATCGTTAAGCTGCTATTTTACACTGGTATTCTGTGAGAGCGTGGTCCTTCTCCGGTCGAGCCGACCCATATGTGCTACAACTATACTACTAATATAGCTGCAGCATGGTACTACTATACTGCAGACACTACACTAATTTAATATAAGTATAAATAACTATGTGTGTACCTGTACTAAACATGTTCATACCGTGGGTTTAGTAAGAAACGACAGACGTAAATTAAAACAAATGATGGGCAATAGTACCTTCGTGATAACAACTTAAAATAATGAAATACTTTTGTTGCCAACCTGCCTGCCAAGCTTGGCAACAATGGCATAATCCACTCTACTAGGCAATAGGGAGGCCTACGTTCATCAGTGGAATTTTTTATAAGCTGTAATGGAAGGATGATAACTATGTTTGTAGTCGAGTGTAAGACCGTTAGGTACCTTCTTTTTCACTCTATTATTAGATAAAAGAAATTCTATCTTTATGTGTGAGAAAATTATTTTTAGTTTTATTACTCAAGCTCATGACATACAAACACATCTTTCTTGAAGCAATTTTATAGTACTGAAATAACGTGCTACGCGTTTATATTCTTGCGTGATGACAAATGTGTACATTTTAGTTTTAAAGAAAACTAGTTTGAAAATTTCATTTGCAGTTTTCAAAACAATAACTTTTTTTTTATAAAACTGTTGTGACAAAGGAACTTGCAGCTTACAGTTACCTAATGATGGTAAGTGACTATTGCAGTTAATGGATTCTTGTGATCAACGTCATACGAAGATCTACGATACGGATGCGATGACATCTGAGAACTAAGATGGAATGCTTCGCAGCCAGTTATTATACCGGATTCTTTTACCATTTAAACACGTATATGTATGGCCTACAATTTTTCTTTACTTTTTTATAAGTCAGTGCTTGGCCACAATCCCATCTGGTGGTAAGTGGTGATGCAGCCTTAGATGGTAAATCGCACTGTCTTAGCGTAACAAAAACCTATTCACTCTTGCCTTGAAGACGCCCAGATTTTATTTGGACGGAAAGATAGACACCGGCAAATTATTCCACTCTTTTGCTGTACACCTTAAAAAAGTCGATTTAAACCATTTGGTTTTAATGCGAGGAATATTAACAACAAAGGGGTGAAGACCAGCCGACCGCCTGGTCGTCCGATGGTGGAAAGGAGAGGGAGGAATCAAAGCGTGCAATTCCTGCGCACACTCTAGGCTGCTACAAATGCTCTACAAATAATTATAATAAGTCTGAATGTTTGTCCTTGTGCAATTTGAACATACAGACTTCTTCCATAATACAGAAAAAACTCCTACTGCCTAACTCTTACAACAAAAAAAATACAGCTCGTAAAAAGTATTTCTATTCACATGTCTACAATTCTATTAGAAGAGACCTGTTATCTTGGCCAAAGGTTTAGATACCAGGCCATAAACTCCAAAAAAAAAGACCTGTTATCTCTTTATAATCATCAGGTTGTAAAAGCCTACTTCCATACATAGGCCTCTCACGTAGGTATAGTAGTAGTAGGGTGGATTTGCCTTAACTGTAAGTGTCCTTGACACTATTGACTATCGATGTATAAGAAGTCGCATAATTTAACGTAGCTGCCCATTGCCGGTGTAAGTATTTTATGCAAGATATTCTTGTACATCTTGGTATATCTATCCGAAGCCTTTAGATATTTCTAGCACAAATTACATGGTAGAGCCATACTATAGCTATATTAGTAGTGTAGTTGTAGTACGAATTAGTTGGCTCGATCGTTTCACAAAATCCAGTGTAAAATAGCAGTTCAGGCTGTGTGTTACGTATGGTGACTGTAGAGAAATGCAGATCAATTTCACTGGAAACGAAGCATTCCATCTTAGTCTTCACGGGTGACAACCCTTATACCTATCGATCGACCCTTACGATACACAGTTAAAATAATGCATTAACACGCATTTTGAATTTAAAAGATAAAAAGAACAGAATGTTTAAGATGCTTTTTAATTAATTTTTTTCACCATTTGTCTATATTAATTATTATGAACCTGCTCTGTAAATTTGGCCGAATATCGCAAAATAACCCTGTATGTTATGTCTTGCTGTATATGTGCTGGAAACAGGCGTCTTCTCATTTCTGAAACGATTTCAGGGCAAGGAAATTACCGCTCTGCGTTTTAATAGTGAATTTCACATATCTTGGTATAATTTTTTTTCTTTTCTTAGACATGCACGTTTCCTTACGACGTTTTGCGAAATTACAATTAACAATATCATTCATGCCAGCGAGAATCGGACTATATATAATCGGAATATTATAAATGTCTAATCCATATCCCTTAACAGCTGCTGCTTGGTAATATACATGATTTTAATATCTTAGTTATATACTATTTTTAGGTAATTTTGTGACATATTTCTTTATAAGCTATCGTAACTTTCCTCTATTGTGTCACCAATAAGGGTGCACACATCAGTCCCTATAATAAGCTTACTTTCGATTTGATATATTAAGCCTACTTTCAATTTGATATATTAAGTCTACTTTCAATTTGTTTTTTTTTTGGCGGTAGGTGAAGAAAAAAGTGTTCACGTTCTTACGTTTTCAAAAATATATTTTAAAGTAATTAATACATTAAAGTACATTATTCGTGTATTTATTTGGTGAAAAAATACATCATTAGTTAGTACTTACATGTTTATGGATGTAAACTGATTTAAAATTCACCACCTGCCAGCACATCGCACTTTGAATAATTTTTACAACAGAATGTCTCAACTAGAAGAAATAAGAACTGCTCAAAATACTCTAGAGGAATGCTTTTCTAAAAGGATGGCTGAGTTGGAAGCACAGCTGCATACTGGGGGACCCGCTAAAGACACTGTTGCAAAGGTGGCTGAAGAATTCCGGACTTTCCGTGAGCTCATGTACTCAATGCTTGGGATGCTTCGCAAGCAGATTATTGAGTGCTCTGGTATGGTAGATGTCATCGAAACCAGGCATCGTCGTAAGGCTCTCATTTTCCTCGGTGTTACTGAAGAAGAGAAGGAAGATTGTAAAGCCACTGTGGTGAGCATTTTCACAGGATTGGAGTAGCCAGTAAAAACCATCAACGACCAATCTTGGTACGGTTTGTTGATATAGACTCTAGAACATCGGTGTGGAGGTCAAAGTCCAAGCTTAAAGGTTCATCGATTGCAGTTAAAGAATTCTTGACAAAGACCCGTCAAGCTGTTCATGCTAAAGCCCGGCAGCATTTTGGTATGCGAGATTGCTGGACTCACGACGGTGTAATTGTGGTGAAAGCTCCTGATGGATCCCGGCATAAGATCACTTCCCTAGACGAGCTAAACTCCTTAAAGCAGAAATACCCCAAATCAGCAGCTGAATCCTTGGTTGAGGGCAAGACCGCAGTTGTGGGATCAACGAACCCTCTTTCAAAACTTCGTAAGTGACGACAATTGAAGTTAGTAGTTTCGTGTGTTAATTTTTCATTACCTAAATACAAAAATTTCTCAATTTTTTT